GCCCACGACACGCCCACGACACGCCCACGACACGCCCACGACACGCCCACGACACGCCCACGACACGCCCACGACACGCCCACGACACGCCCACGACACGCCCACGACACGCCCACGACACGCCCACGACACGCCCACGACACGCCCACGACACGCCCACGACACGCCCACGACACGCCCACGACACGCCCACGACACGCCCACGACACGCCCACGACACGCCCACGACACGCCCACGACACGCCAACGACACGCCAACGACACGCCCACGACACGCCCACGACGCCTCCCCTCAGGACATGGTCGACCCCTTCACGGACCCGCCCACGCGCCTCAAGGAGAAGGAGCCGACTAGCCGAGACGCGCCGAGATGCGCCGAGATTCACCGAGATTCACCGCCCACGCGAACCTCGAGGGGAAGGAAGAGCAGCCGCTAGCGTGCGGAAGCCCGCAACCCCCGTGCTCCGGCCAGCACTCGAGAGGACTCGCACTCAGCCGCAACTGCATTCGCTGCGCACGCGATGAGCACACCGCGCGATATGCGTGTACGCCCGCCCTGGCCCTGGCCCTGGCCCTGGCGCCGTGACGCGGGTGTTTGCACTCGAGACGCACAGGACATCATCCCGCTGCGGGTCGAGGGGACGGGCTTCGCCGCAAAGACCGACGAGAAGGCGCTCAAGGTGACAAAGACCGACGTGATGGGCTTCTGATGCGCGCCCAGGCGCCCACGCTCCCCGGACGGCGGGGGGCGCGCTGAATTCTCGGCGGGGACTAAACGCGGGGACATTAAACGGATGGGTGGCTGTTGTTCATCCGGACCGCTGATGTGCGGACGTCGTCCTCTTCGACATGCGCCGCCAACAACAACACATGTGTAAAAATATCGTGTACAGTCAGTCACAAGTTTCCCGAAAAGACAAGTCCGTGTTCTCTTTAAGGTTTAACACACTGCGCGCTGCCTCAGCCCTCACTCACGCTCTTTTTCTCTCCGTCTCGCTCCCGCCATCCGTGTCAGGTGTCACGACCCGGCCCAGCTCTGGTGCGCAGCTGTTGCAGCGGCTGCGAAGCATCAGCGCCACGGCCCGGTCCTCCGCCCCAAACTGCAGCACCGCCCAGCGGCAGTACCGGCCGCTGATCTGCGCGCTCAGCGCGGTGGTGGTCGCCGAGGCGATCGGCAGCCCTCGCTTCGTCGCCTCGGCAGCCTCCGCGCGGCAAGCGAGGAACGCGGTCACGGCCTTGCCGACGAGGTCTGCGCACCTATTTACAGCTGCAAGCCTGTGAAGAGACGCTGTGCACACTCACAGCGCACAGAGAGGCCTCGCACGGCGCGTGCGGCGAGCACAAGCCTAGTCGCAGACTCCGGCACTGAGGCGGCGCAACACCGCTGTGCAGCGCCAGGCTCGTGTCCTCTGGCAGCTGGCGGCTGGTGCATGCCGGCCCTCTGCACCAACTGTCTGCACTCGCCATCTAGATGGTCGCCATCTAGGAGCGCAAGCCCAGAGTGGCGCACTCCTCGGCGCAGCCCGCCGCCGCGCACTCCGCCCTGGCGACCAGCAAGGAGCCATCATGAGAGACGACTCGTCCTACCTTGGCGAGCTGCAGCGGCGGCACATCTCGGGTCATCTCGGGCAATCTCGGGTAATCTCGCCGTGCGAGCTGCTGCGGCGCCGTCCACTCGCCTCCGCGCGAGTCCGGCTCGATCTCCTCGAGCGGCGGCCGCCTGCCACGCAGTTGAGTAGCGGTCCCACAACTGCGTACTAGGTGTCAAGCTCGCTCGACTCGGCGGCGGCCGCCGCCGCCGCCGCTGTCCGCCCGGCTGCAGCGCGGGCAAGTGCAGTAGAAGAGCTTCTGGGTAAGGAGCACGCGCCGCCGCTCTAACCATAGGCATCGCCGAGATGTAAGCCGAGACATCGCCGACACTGTGGTGAGGCGGCATCCCTCGCCTTCTCGTGTCGTGGACCAGAGCTGGTCGAGATACGAGATGACGATCTCGTCGCCAGCCTCGATGGTGCACGTCGCGAAGTAGTGCATCTCCCCGCCGACTCTAGTGCTGTGGCCGCAATTTGGCGAGCAAGAGTGGTTGGCCTTCGCCGCAATCGGGAAGAGGCCTACAGGTCGAGAGTGTGGCCGGCGTGCGGCCGCGCAGAACGCTCACGCCAGCCGCCACCTCGATGACGAGCGCCGGCGCGCTTCCCGAAGGCATGCGCGTTGATGTCCCCAATGAGGAGTAGGTGCTCAAAGAGATCGGCGGCACGCGGGCCGTCGTACGCCTCCGCCATGCGCGCGGCGAGGCTGCTCCTCTCGGCAGAGCGGGCCGCTCGCTCCGCCACCGCCTCCATCCTCGCGTGGTCCGAGACGATGCAGCTGAGGCCCGCGTCGGCGTCCGGCGCGGCCATGTCGAGCACCGCAGCTTGCACGTCCGCCGAGGCGCACATGAAGGACGAGATTAGCTGCTCCGCGTCGTCGTGAGGCCACGTGAGGCAGGGCGGCTCGCGTAGCACCGTGTCGCCGGGCTCATAGCGGCGACTCGCCCGCATGATGCGCCCTTGCCCCACGACGTGCTCGATGTGGAAGCCCTTTTGCGTAGCCATTGGCAGCCCGTTCGCAGGCGAGCTTGGGGTCGGTAAGTAGCCGACGACGGCGGAGCAGAGGGCGGACTCCAAGGCACGAAAGAAACACTCGAGCGGTGAGCAAGCACCCTGTGAGCAATCCGTGTAAAAGGCCAGTCAATTTGCCAACACCCCTGTAGCAAGCACCCTGTGAGCAATGCGTGTACGTAGCTCGGCCATATCGCTCGTGGGTGAATAAATAAATAAATACAACGCACATCCCAAGCTAGGGCTGGGTCGAGGACAGACACGTCCCCACCTTTGCAGGATTTTGCAAAAGCGAGGGGGGAGGGCGCATCGCTCGTGGGTGAGTCCAGACTGCTCTACCCAAGCTCAATTTTATATAGCAGGGCCCGCCCCCTGTTCAGTCTAGCGTAGACTGAACAGGCGCTCTGCAACCTCCGAAAGTCGCATCTGAGGCGGCGGGCCCCCGTGGCGTGACCCAGCGGAGCACTCCTTCGCCGCTCGTCATGATCGGTAATGTCCGAGTAGCTGTGCGGACGGCTTCTTGTCGCTCTCGTCGAGAGCGTTTTGGCGGCCCGGCGGGTGGGAGAATCTGTGTCGTCTGATGTGTCACTGTGTACGTCACATCGGTCTTGATAACAAGCACGGTCGATCCGTCGAAGCGATATACTCGTCACGTCACGCTGGACGGCTTGCACGGAACTCTGTGCCGGCACACACAGGAAGAGCCGTCCGGCAAGAAGAGCTCGATAGGGAGCGAGAACCGTTAGAGGTGCTCCGAGAGGTATCAAGACTCCGTCATGACGCGGTAAGATCACTCCAAAAATGACCGCGCAGATGTCGGATCTCGTTGAGATATCTTGCAAAATCTGCTCTTCCCGAGCCGGCAGCACGCAGAGAGTCGCAGAAAGGCTACGAGTGCTCGACGAGTTTTGAGACCTGCGCGGTCAAACCTGGGGGAACTGACCGCACCAGGACGGACGTCCGAAACCTGCGTGAGCACCTTTGACGGTTCTCGCTCCCTATCGAGCTCTTCTTGCCGGACGGCTCTTCCTGTGTGTGCCGGCACAGAGCTCCGTGCAAGCCGTCCAGCGTGACGTGACGAGTATATCGCTTCGACGGATCGACCGTGCTTGTTATCAAGACCGATGTGACGTACACAGTGACACATCAGACGACACAGATTCTCCCACCCGCCGGGCCGCCAAAACGCTCTCGACAAGAGCGACAAGAAGCCGTCCGCACAGCAAGCCGGTGGAGCCGAGCGCGCGGAATCGACGATGGCGTGCCGGCCATGGGCCCGGACGAAGGTCCTGGCTCGAAAACGCGAGCAGAGGCTGCCGTGTGGGGCCACGGCGAGCCTCGGGCGAGAAAGACAGCTCTGGGTAGAGAGGAGCTGCTATATAAGAGGGCTCCCGCGGCGATCAACACCGCAACTCCTTTTCTAATTTCACCACTCTTCTTACGCGCGACGACGCTACAGCCTCCACCAAACCTCACACTTTTACTCACCCTCGGACATGCTTGCACCGTCATCCTGCGCGTCTGATGCGTCGCGCATCTGCTCGTCACCCTCTCCGTCACTCGAAGACCTCGATACTTAGCGCACTGCTCGGGCGAGAGCTCAAACACGTGCCGCGTCTCGTCTTCGCCGCCGGCTACGCGCACAGACACAGTACGCGGCAGCGCCGACACGTCAACCCGCGTGTACGTCAGCGACGGGTCCCGCACGCCGCACGAGGCGCATGCGTGCAGCGGCAGCGCGTGCGCCATGCGCTCGTCGCTCCACTCGCCCAGCAGCCGCCGCTTCGTCTCGTCGGAGACGTGCACGCAGCGCTGCAGCAGCGCCGCCGTCTCGTCCTCGGGCCGCTCCAGGTCCATGACGACGTTCGTCGAGGCGTGGAAGCGCGTCTCCAGGTCGATGGCCGCCTGCTCGGCCGCGGCGAGCTTGCCCTGGTCGACGCACATGCCGCACACCGCGTGCGCCGGGCAGCCGCACTGGCCGCGTTGTGGGCGCACGGTCTTGGCGACCGCCGGCGCTGCGCGCCGGTCGTGCTGCTCACGCTGCCGGCGGCGCTGGTCGCGCGCCTGCCGATCGCGCGTGTTCGCGGCGGCTGCATCTCCTGCTCGTTTCGCTCGCACCCGAGCGGCTGTCGCCAGGCGCTTCAGGTCGGCGGTGCTGCGCGCGCGGCCGTCGGCCAGGCACAGCCACATGTCCTCCTCCTCGGCAGGCTCGCACGGCTTGCCGTCGAACTGCGGCTGGCGCCCGCGACGATGCTTCGCCCAGGCCGGGCACGATGGTGCCGCGACGAGCGGCGTCGAGGCGACGGCCATCGATGGGTCCAGAAGACTTGGAGACACTTCTCGACCAAAAATCGAGCACAATTGCGTTACATGGGCATGGCCGGGGTTTCTGCACCGAACGATCTTACTTTCGGTCTATCGAAAGTGTTGATCGATAAAAATCCGGCTTGGGTAGTGGACGCACAGACAGACAGATCGCAGCCAGCTCACAGACACAGGCAGGGGCAGCTCACGAGGTGGCGCCCCGGGTCTGTATAAAGAGAAAATAACGCACGGGTTCGAGCTTTTGCCAGACGTGTTTATTCATGCGTTGAGCTCTAGTCACGTACAGTAGACGTACAGCCGGGCAGACGTACAGCCCCAACCTCTCCCAAACAAACAGCTCTCCCCATCTTAAAGTAACACAATGGCTGTAGCTGGCTCCACGCGAGCGTAATGAATAGTCAATCAGAGCTCGTGCGGCGTCACGAACAGTGAGATAATCAACGCTGTGGGCGAACAATGACAATGAAAGGAGTCCCGTGAACAGCCTGTCAAATGCCATCGGAGGTACGGTAGACGGAGGTCCGTGGCGTCTGTCCGGAATTCGCGTCCACATCGCCATCGGGCGCACCTTCCAGATCCGTCTTTGAAGTCCTGCGGCTTGGCTCGGCCCCCTCCATCTGTCCCACGACTGAGACACGAGCACGCCGATCCTTCTTCTTGTAGCATATGGCCACCGACGAGGAGGGCCGCCACGACGGCCACCCCAGCCACGGCCACGATGGCGACGACAGCGGTGCTCGAGCTCTTCTTGGTTGGCTCCTCGTTGTCCACGATATCGACCGCAAAGGGGCTCAGGATGGAGATGCCCCCAAGGACGGTGCTCATGGCCTCTTCAAAGTCCTCTTGGCCCGTCGCCCCGGAATACGAGGCGAGGCTGCTCTCGGCCGCATTCGCTTGCCCCTGCGTGAGCCCTGGAAATGTGGCAACGACGACGACGCTTCCGGCGCGGACCTCGATCTTCGAGCCGAAAGGCGCGACGACAAAGCCTGCCAGGTCAGCAAGCTTCTCGAGGATGCCTTCTTTGATGGCCTCGTCAAAATCGCTCACGTCGCCGCTCGCGGAGAAGGAGGCGATGACCTGGAATGAGCCCAGCTCTCCCGACGGCGACGGCGATGGCGCCGGTGCCGTTGATGGCGGGGACGGCGGCGGTAGGGTGGGAGGTGCAAATGAGGGCAGCGCAGGCGGCTGTGGCGGCGAGGGCGACACGGATGGCGGCGGCGGCGAGGGCGACGCTGACGGAGGAGGGGTCGGAGGCGGCGGCAATGGAGGCGGAGGGGTCGGCGGCGGCGGCGAGGGCGGCGGAGGGGTCGGCGGCGGCGGCGAGGGCGGCGGCGAAACCGGCGGCGGAGGAGGCGCCTGGGGCTCATCTGCAGGAATCCCGGGAGGGTAGAATGGCGGCGGCGGAGATGGAGGCGGAGGGGTCGGCGGCGGCAGCGACGGAGGCGGCGGCGTTGGCGGCGGCGGCGAGGGAGGGGGAGGGGTCGGCGGCGGCGCCGCCGGAGGCGGCGGCGTTGGCGGCGGCGGCGACGGAGGCGGCGGCGTTGGCGGCGGCGGCGAGGGAGGCGGAGGGTTCGGCGGCGGGATCGGTGGGGGAGAAGGGGGTGGCGGGGACGGAGGTGGCCTCGGCGGCGACGATGGTGGCGGCCGAGGAGGGAACAGTTGCTGGCTCTCAAAGGCCAATGTGCCCTGGAGGAGAGTATTGTCGCGAAGCTCTGTCATCTTCGCCTCGTTCGTCGCGGTCAGGCTGGCGGCTAAGCTCTCGAGCGACTCCCCGCTGTCCGCGATGGCGGTAGTCTTGGCAACGACCTCCACCTTACCATCGTATACGACGGCGACGCCAGTGCCCGCGGCGCCATCCTCAACTTCGGCGGTGGTAAGGAGAGCGGTCGCACGGATCGTGTCGGTGCGGTCAAGCAGCTGTCGCAACGCGAGCGGGTCGCCGACGGTGCCTGTGCCGTCGCCGATGCTGCATGTCGCTCCTTTCGAGGCGCAAAGGTCGAGGAGTTTTTCCTCGTCGAGATCGGTCCCGGTGACTTCGTCGATGAGGAAGAACTCCGCGTTGAGAGAGATGCCGTCGGCATATTGGTACAGCACCGCCGCGGACTTGCCGTACATGAGTTTGGCGTCGAGCAGGGAGCGTTGACGGCGGCGTTCGCTTACAGTCTCACCTGTCTCTGCTTCGGTGACGACCTTGACTCCCTTAGGCGCATATGGCGGCGGGGACGGCGGCGGGGTTGGTGGCGGAGGCGCAGGTGGCGGAGGGGTTGGCGGCGGCGGCGAGGGCGGCGGCGGCGAGGGCGGAGGCGGAAGGCTCGGCGGTGGAGGGGCCGGCGAGGGCGGCGGCGAGGGCGACGCAGACGGCGGTGGCGACGGCAAGGCAGATGGCGGGGGCGGCGACGGCGAGGCAGATGGCGGGGGAGGCGACGGCGAGGCAGAGGGCGGCGGCGAGGGCGGCTGGACGGCTATACTATCGAGGAGGCTGCCGCTCGCCTCTACGAGAGAAGAGACGATCCCCCAGGGGCTCTCGTCATCGGAGGATTGGAGGGAAAATCGGCCTGAACGGCCGCTGGCCTCCCTCACGAGAGTCGCGTTGGTCGTAGTGACGCCGTCATTGCCGTCAGTCGCACCACTGCGGGCCGTGCGCGACTCCACAAGATCGGTCATAGTGACAGCAACCGCGTACTCGTAGTTCGCTTCGCGCGACAAAATGCCCAAGGAGGGGAGCAGGTGATCCGTCGCTGCCATTGCGAAGCAAGAGTAGGCCATCACTTGGAGCTGGTCGTCACTCAAGACAATGTACGACGCCGCAGCGCCGAGTACCACGCTACCGGCTGAAATAGGAAGGACGACGAGGAGGTTGGTCAGGTCATCGCTCCTAGCGTCGACATGCGTGACCACCGGAGAAGAGAGCAGAGTACTGTCGATTGCGACATCGATCGTCACTGGCCCAACCAGCTCGTCCTCCACGTTGCGAGCGATGTCGAGGGTGCTGTAGACGGAGATGCCGTCGGCGCCGTACGAGCCGTTGACCGCGAGCGCGACCGGGAAGATCGGGTCGTCCTCCTCCTCCTCGCCCGAGTCGGAGTCGCTCGGGGCGAAGGTGAGCGAGGCCGAGGCGGAGAGCGGGTCCATCCAGTCGACGTCGGTCGGCGTGAGCGAGAGCGAGGCAGCGAGCGGCGAGACGGACGCCGAGCCTTCAATCGCCACCGAGGACGCGCCGTAGCCGACCTCGCCCTGAGCAGAGAGCGGAAAGAGGTCCTCGTCCCACTCGACGCTGAGGCGGGCCGCCACTGGCTCGAAGCCAGCAGCGCCGGAGGGCTCGATGTCGAGCGTCATGGTCGCCGGGCTCACGAGATCGTCGCCGTCGCTGCGGCCGAGGTCGAGGGTGCTTTGGGCGGTGAAGCCGTCGTCGCCGAAGGTGCCGTTGGCCTCGAGGCTGACTGGGAGGAGAGAGTTCGTGTCGTCTCCCCACTCCACGTGGACCCATCCGGAGAGCGGCTCGGACCTCGGCAGCCATTCCAGCAATCGTCCAGACGGCATGAACGTCAGCCCCGCCTCCAAGATCGACGAGTCCGACTCTTCGCCGTTGGTTAAGAGCCGTCCCCGCCTCGAACTCGAGATCCGGTTCCCTGAGCCCTGAACATCTACGAGTGGCCCGCCAAGGTCGCTGACGACGGTCTTCAAGTCGAAGTCGACGGCCTTGGGGTCAACAGCGTCATGCACGCGTGCAGTAGCACTCACATCGAGTCCTGCTATGCCGCTGGCTTCAGCGACACGGGTGAGCAAGCTCGAGGAGAGGTTTCGCGAGGAGACACTGCACATGAAGCCTGCAAACGCGCTGCTGAGAAAGTGGCTGCCCTGCTTGTGTGCCCGCGTGGGATAAAGCCGGCAGTCCTCGCCGAGGCACTGCAGCCCCCACAGGAGATCGATCTCGTCTGGGAGGTTTGCGAGGTCGAGCTCGTGCTCCGAAATCGCCGCTTGCACTTTGAGGTCGCCGATGAATGGTGCATGCGACGGGCCAGCGGGCTCGAGGGAGGAGACGAGACGGAAGGCGAGGTGCAGCACCTGAGCGTCAATTCGTAGACGTTCGGTCGAGGCCGGGAGGAACTCGGCCATCAGCTCCTGCAAGCGTTTGGTGCGCAGAGTGACTCGACCGAAGGCATCTTGTGCCAAGTCGGTCGAGATCTCGATGTTGCCGAGTGGCACGTCTTTCCCAAGCGGGAAGGCGCCAGTGCTCAGGGCCAGGCGAGTCTTTTGGTCGAGACCGAGGACGTCATCGTGACCGCTCAAAGTGTTGAGCCGAGCAGCGAAGCCCGCCTCGGCGGGCTCAGAGAAGCCAGCCTTGAACCCCGTGACGTTGAGGGCGGGAGGGCCAGTGACGGCACTCGAGAGAGCCTTGCCTGCCTCGCTGTTGATGCTCCCAATGAGGTGCGACATGGGCGGAATGCTCACGCGCGCCTTGCTGCTCAGAGTGCTCAGCCCCTCGAGAGCCCAATCGTCAAACTGGACGGATTCGTGGTGGTCCGGCTCCGCGTCGAACCGAAGAGAGAACTGTGTGGGTGGGGTGGCATGGAGGTCTGTCAGTCAGGGTGGTGTCTGTGCGCACGGTGAGCTCGAGGGTTGGGGCACCTCGAAGGCGACTTGGAAGCGGAGAGCGCCGGAGGTGAGCCTTCCACGGGCGACACAGGTGAGCTCCGAGTGTAGCCCATCCCGCCATGCAACTAGGCCGACTCCACTGTTGAGCTGGAGATTGACGTCGAGCGTGACGGTCTCGCTTCCCAATTTCGCGGGTGCCACGTCGAGCACCGCCGCGGAGTCGTTCTCTGTTGAAGCGATGCAGCGTGCGCTATCAATGTCGAGCTTGTGCGCGAATGGCATGTTGTTCGGACGTGCACGGACGCGAAACGAAGTGCCGCCGCTCGTCAGCTCGGAGGGTACCACGTCGAGACTAATAAGTTCGAGCTTCACCTTCTCCATTCGCACGAGGCCCATAATGGTGACGGTGAAGATAGGGACCAGCACGGCGAGAGCAACTAGCAAAGCGATAGCCAATCCGACGAGTTTTCGGCGATACTTTGTTGGATTGTCCGTCACCGGCGCGTGCAAAGCGTCCGTCTCCCCCTTTCTTTGGTCGGACGGCGCGGGGTCGATGCCCACGGCCCAGCTCGTCATCGAGGAAGGGGGACGACGCTGAGAAGCAACGACGACGAGGCGGGAGTCAGCCGCAGGGTAGACGTGCTTGAGGATGAGAAGTGTGGAGTGCTGGCCCCTCCTGGGACAGGTGACGGGAAAGGGAGGCGGGCAGGGGCGGGAGGCAGACCAGCGGACGCAACAGAGTCCGAAGTCGTTGCAGCGAGCCGCCTTGAATCGCAATCGCCATTGCCCTGTGTCTGGGACGCCGCCCCCCCCCACCCTCGTGCCACTGTGCTGTGAGAGAAGGCTTGAGTTTGAAATCAGTCGCGCTCCCAATACGTGCATCACTTTTGTGACGGTGTTACAACTTTGAGCAACCATATCTCGATAAGTTTCATGTCGAGATGTCGACGCTCATGAAAAAGTAGGGGCGCAATCGATGAGGCGCCGGGCGCCCAGTTGATTGCGCCTACTTTCATGAGCGTCGACATGGTAGTTATCGAGGTATGGTTGATCAAAGTTGTAACACCGTCACAAAAGTGATGCACGTATTGGGACCGCGACTGAAATTCAACAAACAAATTCAAGGAATAACATGGACAGAAGTCGATTCTCTGCATCGTGAGTCGCGACTGCCTGACGTAGAGTACACGTAGAAGTCCTAGAGCTATAGTACCATTAGAGAGCCGAGTATGAGGGAGATTCCACAGAGGACTCAGAGAGGTCGGAGGTAACCCTTGCCTCGCGGGGATTCTCGCGAGCGGCGAGGGGCGGGGCGAACCCAAAGCTCCCGGCTCCGGTCACCGGACACCGGGGCAGGAGCTCTCACACCCTCTCTGTCGCCGCCGACGGGTGCTCGCCGCCGAGGAGGCCTTCCCGGAGGTCGCCCGTCGGCGGCGGGAGCGGCGGGGTGGCTGTTCGCGGGTCTGCCGTCGGGCCGATGGCCGCGCGCGCCGCCGGCGCGGGCTGCGTGCGTTGCGGCGGCGAGTCGACCTCCGCGGGTCCGGAGGGCTGGAAGCCGAGGAAGGCGAGGACGCGCTCGTACACGTTGCAGCCCAGGAAGAGGCCCGTGATCAGGAGGAGGACGGGGCAGAGCGGCGGGTAAAAGTCGTCCGTCCGCCGGCCGAGGAGCGGCAGCTGCGCCTTGTGGGCGTACAGGCAGAAGAAGGCGGACGGCGAGCGGCTGTAGCTCGACCACTCGCCTATTGGTGTTGTTAGCACTGCAGTGTGGTGCTCGACGGCGAGCGGCTGTAGCTCGCCCTCTCACCGTGGCGGTCCACGTCCCGCGTGGCCTGCAGCAGGCAGACGTAGTTGAAGCAGAGGGCGAGCGTGAGGCGGCAGTTGGTGCTCGCGTCGAGGAGGAGGGCGCCAGAGTCGTTGCCCCGCGGCTCGCGCCGGAGAGAGAGCGAGCCGCCTGCCATCCGGCGGAGCGCCCAGCCGACGCAGAAGCGCATCCAGAGCAGAGGCGAGAGCAGCAGCAGCACCGCGTGCAGCGGCGAGGCGCTGCCCTGCGCGGCGACTAGCAGCGCGTGCAGCAGCAGCACAGGCCCGAGCGGGTCGGGCTCGTTGGCAGGGCCGTCGACGGCGGCGAGCCACGGGAAGGCGCCGATGCGGACGAGCCACTGCAGCAGCAGGCACAGCTCGGACCACGCCAGCAGCCCGCCCAGCGCGGCGGAGAGGACGGCGCCCGTTCGCAGCAGCGGCTGCAGCGTGCCGACGAAGGCGCGCGCGTACAGGGCGAGGCAGAGGCCCTTGACGGTGGTGTGGTCGCCGCAGACGTCCAGCTCGCGGCTCGCCACGGGCACGGCCCACTCCCACCACGCAGCGGCCCGGCGGACGCGCTCGTACTCTGCCTCCGCCGCGCGAGCCGCCAGCCGCGCAGCGTGCGCCTGCGGGACGTGTCACAGACATGTCTTCGACGTGTCGTGGACGAGTCCGCCAGCCGCGCGGCGTGCGCCGTGACGCGGAGCTTCTCGAGCGAGTGCAGCGTCAGCTCACCAACCACCTCCTCCTTCTCCGCCGCAGCAACCCCACCAGCCGCCTCCTCCTCCTCCTCCTCGACGGCGTTGGGCGGGCGCTCGGCCACCACCGCAGATGTCGTCACCGCCGCCGCTGCCGCCGCACCGGCCCCCGCCGTTGCCGCCACGGGAGCCAAAGCGGATGCGGCGTTGTGTGCGGCTCCGGCGGCGACGGCGCACCCGCCACCAGCCCCTCTCCCGCCACCAGCCCCTCTGACCCCTCCCTCCCCGCAGAGAGGCGCAGCAGCTGCCGCCCCTGCTGCCCCTGCTGCCCCTGCTGCTGCCCCTGCCGCCCCTGCCGGCGCTGCTGGCGCTGCCGCCTCCGCCGCCCATGCCGCCTTCGCCACCTCTCCTCCTCCGCCTCCGCCGCCTCCTCCGCCCCCTCCTCCGTCTCCACATCCGCCTCCTCCGCCTCCGCCCCCTCCTCCGCCTCCGCCTCCGCCTCCTTCTCCCGCGAAGCCATCCGGCCCAAGGCGGCGGATGGCATCGACACGCCCGTCTCCCGTCGTGTCGAGCAGCACCGAATCCGGCACGCCTGCCAAGAAAGCAAGATGTGAAGAGAGCAGAAGGAGGGTGCGAACAGAGCAGCTCCAAATCCGGCTCGCCGTCGCCGCTCGTGTCGACCTGCGTGCCGTGAGCAACAGTGCCGTGGGCAACAGTGCCGTGAGCAACAGTGCCGTGCGCGACTGTGCCGTGAGCAACAGTGCCGTGCGCGACTGTGCCGTGGGCGAAGCCGGCCTCCGCGCCTCTCCGCGCAAGCAACCGCGCCGGCGAGGCGCCTGATGAGTCGATTTGGAATGGCTCATTCATGGCCGGCCGCTGCAGCTGCTGCGCCGGCGCTGCGCCAAAGTTGAGCCGCGACTGCGCCGCCGGCCGCCTGGCGTCTGGCCTCTTGGCCGCGGCGGCCCAGATCTCCCCCGCGTGCCTGCTCACAGCTAGAGGCGTGAAGAGTCGCTGCTTGCGGCCAGAGGTGTCAAGAGACCTCCCCCCGCGTGCGTGTCGAGCCACGAGCGGTCGCCACACCCCACTGTACCGGCCGGAGCAAGCCCCGAGAGCGCGCCATCGCCCTCCGCATGCCCTCCAGGACGCAGCGGCGAGGTCGACGCGTCCGCCACCGCAACAGCGTCTCCCGGCACGCCCCCCGGAGCAAAGCCGCTGCCCTCCCAGCCGCCGCCCATCGCGGCTCCCGCGAGCGCCGCTGCCGGTCCCATGCGCGGTGGCGGCGCGCCCCCGCCCCCTCCCGCCTCCAGCACCGCCTCCCCGCTTCCAGCGCACCCGGCCGTAGGATGGCTGCCCACACCGCCCACGCCACAGCCACTGCCCGCGCCCGTGCCACCGGTGCCGCCGGTGCCACTTCCAGCGCCGCCACTGTCTCCGCCGCCGCCGCCGCTGTCGCCGCCCGCGCCTCCATCCCCGCCGCCGCCTCTGTCGACCCCTCTGCCGCCCTCTCCGCTGCCGCCGGCTTCGGCCCCGCCTCCGGCTCCGCCTCCGGCTCCGTCTCCGCCGCCGCCTCCGCCGTCGCCTCCCCTTCCGCCGCCGCCTCCGCCCGCCTGCGCGCTCTCGCTCAGCTCCCACTCGACCAGCCTCGCGCCTAGGGTTAGGGTTAGGGTTAGGGTTAGGGTTAGGGCTAGGGTTAGGGTTAGCTCCCACTCGACCAGCCTCGCGCCTGGCAGGAAAGGTGTACAGTAGGCTCCGAGAAGAGGTTCCGAGGAGGCTCCGAGAAGGTTCCGAAACGCCTCTCACCAGCTGCGAGATGCTGCAGCTGGCGGATCTCGGCGGATCTCGGCGGATCTCGGCGGATCTCGGCTAGCCGCGCGCAGTTGAGCAGCCGGTCTCTCAGCCTCGCCTCCTTTGCCACCACGAGGGTCCTCGAGATGCTGCCTGCTCTGCCCCGCACGGACAGCGCGCCGGAGCGGAGAGGGTCCGCCGGCGAGAGAAGGCCTACTCTCGGCCAGCCTCGCCTCATCTCGCGCAACCTCGCGCAATCTCGAGCAGCCTCGGGGCGGCGAGGAGACTTGCCTCGCGGGGAGAGGAAGGAGCGACGGCCGCGCGGCGTCGCCCTTGGCAGCGGCGGCGGGGTAGCGGCGACCTCATCCCACCGGCGCAGCAGCGGGGCCTAATCTCGCCTCATCTCGCTCTCATCTCCCGCTGTCCCCCCTCAGGGAGCATCGCGCCACCCACCGGCGCAGCGGCGCCTCGCCCCGCCCCATCGAGACGGGAGACTCGCCCGTGCGCACGGCAGGAGGCGGCGGCATCGGCCCCTCTCCTGCTATCCACGAATGACAACCGCCGCCGCCTCCGCCTCCGCCGCTGCTGCCACCGCCGCCGCTGCTGCCGTCGCCGACACCTCCGCCGCCGCCGACCCCACCGCCCTCGCCGCCAGCCTGCGACGCGGTCCAAACGTGGCCTGCCTGCGCCTCGTGCGCCCCCAGCTCCGCCGCCCGTGCTTCGTCGGCGCCTCCGCAAGCGCGGTGCCGCGGCAGCGGGGGCGGCAGCTGCGGCGGCGAGCAGAGCTGCGGCGGCGAGGGCAGCTCGGACGACCACAGCCCCGCCCGAGGCGTCGAGGCTGCCGAGGAGCCGAGCGCGAGCGTGGGCGGCGCGGCGGAGAAGGGCGAACCATACTCTTCCCACCGACGCGAGGGGAGCGGCGTCGTCGGAGGCGACCTGAGATCCAATAATCGGGCATGGTTGGTCTCGCTGTGATCTCGCTGTGATCTCGGTGTGACCTCGGAACATCTCGGCGGCAGAGGCGGCCTCTCTGGCGACGCCGACTGGCTCGGCTCTGGCGACGGTTCCGCCGGCACAGACTGCAGCAGACGCTCGAGCTCGTCCGCCTCGTGGGCGGCGGCGGCCACGTCCGACACGCGCGGCGCCTAGAGAGGACACGTCCACGCCCCCTCCGAGACATGTCCTAGACATGTCCGAGACATGTCCGAGACATGTCCGAGACATGTCCGAGACATGTCCGAGACATGCCCGCGAGCCGCGCCTTGTTCTTGCGCGGCTCAGTCCACGCCTGCGGAAGCAAGTTGAGGCCGAGCGCCTCAGCCTCGCGCCCCTCGCGGTTCGTCTGCTCCTCGAGCCTACGAAGCATCTCGCCCCTGACGCCGCGCGCACACTCCCTCTCCCTTCCGGCCCCGCCGGCCCCGTCTGCAGCCTCCTCACGGCGCTCGAGACAGCACGCCGCGACGCGGACCACGCCTGCGATCTCGAGGTGAGCTCACGCCAATCTCGAGGTGATCTCGAAGTGGTCTCGGGCCGATCTCGGAGCACGAGCCTGCGCCGCGCCGCGCCGCTCGCGCTGCCGCCTCGCGCGTAGCTGCTGCAGGTGCAGCACGAAGGCTGGCGGCGTGGAGAGCCGCCAGAGGTGGCGAGGCAGCTGGACGAGGCAGTAGGCGAGGCAGAGCATCAAGAAGAAGGCGCTCCACGCGTTGCACGCCGCGAGCAGCCACCCGACCAGCGCCTCGGAACGGAGCTGGCCGGTCGCGTACAGGCCGGAGGCGAGGCAGCCGCCTAGGGGAACGGTCCCAGGGCTGCTGCAAGTCCTTGCTGCAAGATCCTTGAGCAGCAGCAGGCCAGCGGCGATCCGCGCCGGTGAGGGCGATGGCGAGGTAGTAGCGCGCCTTGCGGCGGAGGGCGCGGCGGACGCCGCGCCGCCAGGTGAAGGCACCCGTCAGCTCGTACTCGCGCAGCAGCTCGACCATGGCGAAGCCGAGCGCGAGCGTGCTCCACAGCAGCAGGCTCCAGGCGACGCTCAGCGCACTGAAGGGCTGCGAGTCGCAGGAGAGGCGCTCGACGCCCTGCACGTGCGGCGGCTGCCGCGCCAGATCGATCGGCAGGATCAGCATGCTCACCGCCGACAACACCCAACTCAGCCACACTGTCGTGCCGACGAGGCGGCTGACGCGGTGATCGGCGGCGAGGTGGACGCGCAGCGCACTCAGGAGCGCGACGATGAGCACGAGGGCCCAGATCGTCGGCGCGAGGTGCGTGGCCATTGTGGAGTCGGTTGGGCGCGAAGAGAAGAATTCTTCCGGCACGGCTGAGGGCCGAAAATCGTGCTTTTTGGGCGAGTGTTGAGTGAGGTTGGGAGCGGGTGGTGTTCTTGGGGTGGTTGATCGACAAAAGGTTGGGTTGTCCCGGACGCGAGAGGTCCGACCTAACCTCAGACGTCACCCGTCACGCCTTCTTCTTTCTCGGGAGCAAGCACCGACCGGGTGAGGTCCGACCGACAACCTACCTCACCTCACGCACCCAGACAACCTCATCACCCAAAGAACACAAGTTCACCCTCCCAACCTCACCCGCTTCGACCTCACCCAAAAAGCATGATTCTCATGTTGGGCCCTCGGGCTGTTTGCGTCGCGGCAGGCACGCCGCCTGCAGCACGCCGCTCCTTCCTTCCTTCCCAGCCGCCAGCGTGTGGCGATCAGCCAGCCAGGAGGTGTGGCCCCCTGCGAGTCGAGTACCAAAGGTTCTGGCCCGAGCCTGAGATGCAACAGCCTGAGCTGGGCTCGCTCAACTTCAGACGTAAAGCATAATTGTCATCATCAGTAAAACCATCAAAACCAATCTATTACGCCACGCTGGCCGCATTTACACCTAGCGCAGGCATGGAGGTGACAGGGTCGTCTGCATGGCAGGCCTTTCTCGCTGCCATCACCTTCAGCGCCCCCAGCCGCTCTGGCGCGCCCGTTTCGACGACGCGCCAGCTGGGCGCCACCACTGACACGCCCCGGGTCAACCGGGCACTGGCAAGGCCAGGTGGTACGTTGGTACTTTGCTCCCGTGGGAGACTCGGTCTTTGACGCAATGTGTTCTTCTCAGACAGGCCCCGCGCCATGCTACGTCCCTGTAGACGACAATGCCGCCGCCGTCGCCGTGGGAGGCGATTGGCCCGCCGCCGGCCTCCTCAGACCGATAGTGGAGTGGTCGATCACCGAATTCGAGAAGCAGACGTGCCTGTGCTTCGTTGAGGTCGACCCTGCCGAGACCGACCCGGAAAGCCCTAAGTACCTCGGCGCCGACCACCAGAACATATCAATCATGGCGAGAAATCCGGTCGACGGGTGGAGGAAAGGACGCTGCGCAGGCGTGGAAGATGCGCCGGGATTGTAACACAGACATAGATCGGACAACATAGGTCTGCGAAGTATCGGCTCTCTCTCACCCGTGTCATGCATGTCTGGCGTCCGCTCTCAGGCTCGTCACCAACAGGGCACGAAAAGAATACGATTCTTGGCAAGCACTTCGTCGACTTCTCGTGGGGGTGTGGCGCCACGCCCGGGCCAACGGGGCGCGGCTTTTTTGAATACTTCAAGGGCGTCGTCGTGCACGAAATTGGCCACTCAGTCGGCTTCAAGCATGAGGTGTGCAGAAGCGTGCGTGTGATAACGCGACACTCGCTCATCCACAGCACGCACGGCCCGACCGTGACGACTTCATCTCAATCAACTGGAGCAACATCGAGGGCGGCTGCACCGAGACCACCGTGGCAGAGTGCGCGAGCAACAAGGCGCTCTTGGACCCCGACTGCGTCGGGGGCAGCTGCACGGTCATGTGCGGTCCAATGTGTGTTTGCCACATCACTTTTGGTGGTGGCAGAGGGGGCGCGAAGTATGTTCACATTATAGCTGCGAGTAGGTGCCACAATTTTGCGAGAATGTCGACTCACGACTGGCTTCACGCCGGCGTCTTCAGAGCCCGCTTGCAGCTCTGTGACTAGCGTATCTTCACCCAACTCGTCCGTGAGCAGGCATGTCTGGCGACTTCCCCTTTGACTGGGGCTCGGTGATGCTGTACAGCTCGAGAGTATTCGCCGCTGGGAGCGCTCCCACCATGGTCAGGAAGTCCGACGGGAAGCCATTCAGCGGTCATCTACTCCGGAGCCTACACCGTATTTGTGAACTACACACCCCACGACAACCAACTGTGAATAGGCCAAGTGCTCAGCACCCTCTCTCCCGGCGATGTGCGCCGCTGCGGGAAGCAGTACCTGCCTGACCGAGCATGGCTGCGCTCTCAACGGCGCGAGTTGCACCGACGTGCCTCCTCCTCCTCCCCCCCCCCTCCCTCTCCCTCACCACCGTCGCCATCTTGCCGCTGCTTGGAGCCAGCGTCGGGCTCCGGCAACGACTGCTTTGCATTGACGCCGTGGCTAGAGACCAACGGCCTGCCAACATCGAACTGCAATCACTACTACGACTCCTTCGGCCGCGGACGCGGTTGCCGCTTGGACGGCGACCATTGCGATGGCTTTGAGGATGAGCCGTTCACCGCTTGTGGCCCGGCCGAGTGCTCATCGCCCCCACTGGTGTCTGCCTCTCCCTCGCCGCCCCCGCCGCCGTCTGCCTCTCCTGCGCAAGCACCCACCCCCGCCCCCTCGCCACCGCCGTCTGCCTCTCCTGCGCCACCACCACCCTCTCCCGCCCCCTCGCCACCGCCGTCTGCCTCTCCCTCGCCGCCGCCCTCTGCCTCTCCTGCGCCACCACCACCCTCTCCCGCCCCCTCGCCACCGCCCTCTGCCTCTCCCTCGCCGCCGCCCTCTGCCTCTCCTGCGCCACCACCACCCTTCCCCGCCCCCTCGCCACCGCCGTCTACCTCTCCCTCTCCACCGCCATCTCTTTTGCCTTCGTCTTCGCCGCCTCCATCCACGCCGCCGCCACCAGACCCCTCGTTCGCACCGCCGCCGCCGACAGAACGACCAACCGCGTGCACGGAATGCACAGATGAGCGGAACCAGTGGATGGTGACCAAGGACCTTGCCTGCGACCGATGGCCCTACGCGTACACCAAGCTCTGTAAGCACAACGCTAATTGGGCGAAGCAGAAGTTCTGCCAGCGGTCGTGCTTCGAGAATGGAGCGGGATACGACGGCGACGTCGTGTGCTGTGCGGCGGCGCCGGCGCCCTCTCCAGCATGCACCGAGTGCACAGATACGCCCAACGCGTGCATGGTGGACAATGACTTTGCGTGCAACGGGTCCTGGGCGAGTTACGCCTACGAGAACCTCTGCAAGCACAACAGTAACTGGTCGAAGCAGAAGTTCTGTCAGCGGTCGTGCTTCGAGAATGGATCGGGATACGACGGCGACGAGTGATGTGCGACAGAACGACCAACCGCGTGCACGGAATGCACAGATGAGCGGAACCAGTGGATGGTGACCAAGGACCTTGCCTGCGACCGATGGCCCTACGCGTACACCAAGCTCTGTAAGCACATCGCTAATTGGGCGAAGCAGAAGTTCTGCCAGCGGTCGTGCTTCGAGAATGGAGCGGGATACGACGGCGACGTCGTGTGCTGTGCGGCGGCGCCGGCGCCCTCTCCAGCATGAACCGAGTGCACAGATACGCCCAACGCGTACATGGTGGACAATGACTTTGCGTGCAACGGGTCCTGGGCGAGTTACGCCTACGAGAACCTCTGTAAGCACAACGCCAACTGGGCAAAGCAGAAGTTCTGTCAGCGGTCGTGCTTTGCCAATGGAGCGGGCTACGACGGTGATGAGTGCTGTGATGAGCAAACACATATCACCACCATAGCCGCATCTTGCGTCTTCGCCGCCGCCACGATCTCCGCCACTGCCGCCGCCGCCGCCGTCGGGCCAAGACCGCCGGCACCGCTCCCTCTACCACTGTAGCCGCCGTCGCCGCCGGCACCGTCAATGCCGCCGCCATCGCCGCCACCGCCCTCTCCGCCGCCGCCGCGTTTGCCGCCACCGCCGCCGCCGCCGCCGCGACCGCCACCCTCAGCGCCGCCGTCGCCACCGCCGCCGTCGCCAACGCCGGCGTCGCCGTCGCCGAGCCACCGCCGCCGCCGCATCCGTTTTGCTGCCGCGACCGTCGCCACCGCCGCCCACTCCGTCAATATCGCCGCTGCCACCTTCTTCGCCGCCTCCTCCTCACCCTCGCCGATGCCCTTCGCCCGGCCGCCCCCGACGACGCCGACGTGCGCAACGCTCGACAAGAAACGGTGTAAGAAGGAGGCGTGCGCTCGGCCGGCTCGCCGCCAGTGTGCGACGCCGCTGGAGCAGCAAGAAGAGAAAGTGCCTCTGCCTCAATGCTCAAAGAGCAAGAGGTAGAGCAAAATCTCTCGTCGTGATACGAACGCTGAGGATCTACGTGGTGTATGTCTCGCTCGTGAATACAGGAAAACATCGTTTTTGAATCGATTGAGACGAGTCTTAGTCTTTTATGAAGACCGTTTGAGAGTTTTGTGCTCGAGATTCCTGCTCTTATGATGCCGGCGCTGATCCTGATGCGCTCGCCTGGAGAATCACTCGCGTCGGCTCCCCAACGCGGAGCGGAACCACAAAAGCGCCCGCCTTGCGGCCCGAGCACGGATACGCGGCCTCGTCGTACGCGCAACTGTACGCGCTCGTCGGTGCCGGCGCGCGCCCGTCGCGCCGTTCCACCTCGAGGAAGACGCTGGCCTGCTCACATGGCGGGTGTGATGACCTGAATAGCGAGAGAGAGCCTCCACGCTTGCCGAGGAGGGGGGGCGAGGAGGAGAAGGGGGAGGAGGTGGCGGCGGCACGCCTCGCTGCTGCGCGCCCGCTCGTGCACCGCCACGCGCAGCACCGCCCGCCGCCCGCGCGGCTGCAGCTCGACCTCGACGAGCCGTCCACCCTCGACGGTGACGGTAAGGCCGAGGGGCGCCAAGTACGCTCGCCGGCCAAAGGCGTCCCGCGGCGTGACTCGCAGGTTCGCGCCCGCGTCGCAAGCTTTCGCCGCCGAGGCCGAGGCCGCTCCGCCCCCCGCCTCGCCCTCCACCGCCAGGTCGCACAGGAAGCACGACCAGCCAAACGGCGGCATGCAAGCGACGTACGCCGCCGCGGAGCGCCAGTAGCCGTAGACGCCGGGGCCTGAGGGCAACGCTCTCGCAGTCAGGAGGGGGGGGGGGCTGGGGGCGTGCTATGCAGGCGTTGTCTGCCGTAGTCTCCCGAGAACCCGTCCCTCCGCAGCAGCCCCGGGTCTCCGTGCCACGCCATGGAGTAGGCGCCCGAGGGGTGGATGTTGGAGAGGTGGCCTGCTCACAGCCCTCGCCGTCTCTCGCCACCCCCCTTCTCTCTTCACAGGCGTGCGCGCTAAGAGAGGCGGCCCAGGAGGGCGCACGCTCCCAGCCGCAGCAGGTAGTGTCGCTCCGGGAAGGCGCGGAAGGAGTCGAGCACCGCGACCGCGTTCAGAGTCGCACCGTAGTGGTGGAACTCGCGCTCGTTGCCCCACTGCGTCTTGCCATTGATGGTGAAGTCCCAGTACCTGCTCACAGGTACAGGTGTGAGGAGACGCTCTTCGCAGCTTGCCGCTGATGCATCGCAGCACCGGCGCGCGGAGCCGCAATATGCCCAGTGCGGGACGACCGTCGAGTAGGCGAGCACCGCCTGGACCGTCTTGTTCGCGTCGGCCACCTTGCCGTCGTGGAGCAGCCAGCTGTGGATCTCCTCGTGGCCTGTCGAGTCCCAGGGAAACTCGGAGCCGTACGGGAAGAGCATCGACATCCACTTGCGCATCCGCCGCTCCTTAATCGCCTCCAGCTCGTCGGCGAGGGCGGTGAGGCCCTCGCGGCGCAGGTCCGCGAGCACCGCCACGAAGATTGAGCCCACCATCAAGCCCCACTGGCTCGTCCCGCGCCCGCCGAACGTGTGCATCGCGACCGCCGTCCGGCCCGCCTGCTCGAGGTACCAGCGCCACCCCGCGCGCTTGGTGGGCGGCGGCGAGATGTGGCGCGCGACGCGGTAGAGGGACCAGTAGCCGACCGTGACGTGCGGGTAGTTGTACGCGCGCCACGTCTCGAGGGAGTGCTCCTCCGACCAGCAGTGCATCCAATAACAGCAGTCGCGCCCCTTCTTGCACGAGGCCCAGCACTTGTGGCAGTGGTCGTACAGCGCGGGAAGCGCCCTCCGCGCGGGGCCCGACGGGTCCTTGTCCATCGCGTCGTTCCAGTACAGCATCGAGAGCCGGACGCTATGGTCCGCGCCCTGCAGGAAGCTCGACCGCCGGCCGGATGCGCCCGCCCACAGCGTCTCATGCACGTACTCCTCCAGTTTGCCCACCTGAACCATGAAGAGTCAAGCATGAACGGTCAAGAAAGCATCTTGCGCGTGCTCCTCCAGCCCGGCCACCTCGGCATCGCTCGGCAGCCCGAGCTGCTTGACGCTCATCGCGAGAGGCGCCGAGGCGCCAGACTCGTCCGAGTGACCCGCCATGAAGACCCGCGGGTCGTACAACAGCGCGCCGCCCCGCCCGCCGTCCGCGTCCGCGTCGGTGCCCATGTAGCCGGGGCCGCGGTGCCACGGGTCGCTGCCGTTGCCGGGGAGCCACCCGACGGTGGACGCGAAGTCGCCGTGCCGCTGGAGCAGTGCCGCCGCGGGCTCGAGCAGGTTGTAGTGCACGAACTGCAGCAGCTCGCCGCGGCGGTCTGCCGCAGGGCCCCACCTGTACCGAAGCGTGAGACGGCAGCGGCCGACGGCCACCGGGCGCAGCCGGAGGGCGTGCGCCGCCGCTGTTCCGCCAGAGAGGGGCGCCGCCTCGAGGCAGCCGGGTGGGTCGCTGCGCGGCGAGCCGACGACCTCGAGGCCCTTTGGCGTGGAGAGGTGGAGGCGCGCGTCGGTCATGTCGGCGTGCAGCGTCGCCGCCGGCAGCGGAGTGGCGACGGGCACTCCTGCGGCGAGCAGCGCCTCGCCGACGCTCTCGACGTCGCGGGCGAGGATCATCCGCAGGCCGTACGTCGCGCTGCCGCCGGGCGGGAGAGTGGCGGAGGAGGGGGGCGCCCACGGCGCCGCGCCGCGCCACTCGGCCCGTGCGTACGCCTCCGAGTGCACCACCACCTCGTACAGCATCTCGTGCATCCAGTCGTAGTTGGCGCGGTCCTCCTGCTTGAGCGGGCGCCAGCCCTCGAAGCCGCGCCAGCCGGACGCAGAGCGGCCCTCCGCCCCAACGTCCTCTCGGCGGTCTCGGCGCAGCGGCAGCACAAGCAGCACCTGTTCTCACACTCACCCGCGCCCGTGAAGAGAGGACTGCCCACCGGCACTCTTCGGCGGCGGCGGCGAGCCCGTCACCGGCCCCTCCCCCGTCGTGCGCGTCACCTGCACGTACCCCGCCTCGCCGCCCAAGTACACCTCGGTGAAGGAGCAGCGCTGGGCGACCTGCGGCAGCGACCGGCCCGTGAACATCTGGTTGAACGGCACCGACAAGCCGAGGCCGCCTGCTCACAGCCGAAGCTGTGAAGAGATGCCGCTCCCAGCTCGCCCACACCGCCAGGCGGCAAGCGTGGGCCGATCTCGACGCCGCTCGTCGGGTCGCTGTTTGTGATCGTCAGCGAGAGCGTCGCCTCTGCGCCCGCCACCCTCACCTCCCTCCGCAAGGCGAGGCCCCGCCCAAACGGCAGCGGAGGAGTGAGGCAGCGCGACGCGTCCACAGAGGAGGAGAGGCCGTCCCTCGCCAGAATCGCCTGACGGAAGGTCGGCTGTTGTTGTTGTTGTTGTCACTGGTTGAAGAGCAGAGACGCCGCCCGCCGCCGAAGTCGCCTCGGCGGCGGCGGTCGCAAGGGGAGGCTTGCGCGAGACGGTGGAGTGGGTGGAGTACCTGAGTGTTAGGCGGATCAGGCTGTACTTAATCAACTCACAAGAGGCTTGCGCGAGATGCGGAGTTGAGAGCGCCCTCCCGCAGAGCCAGCCTTTCGCACGCGCAGCGTGAGGTCGCCGAGGTGGTGGAAGCCTGTTCGAAAAAAGAGGCGCGGACGGCCCGCAGGGTGAGGTAGCCGAGGCGCGGCTCCTCTCGGCTCCCCTCGGCTCCTCTCGGCTCCCCTCTCGGCTCCTCTCGGCTCCTCTCGGCTCCTCTCGGCTACCTCTCGGCTCCTCTCGGCTACCTCTCGGCTCCTCTCGGCTACCTCTCGGCTACCTCTCGGCTACTCTCGGCTCCTCTCGCCTTGCGCGGTCCGGTCGAGCGGCAGAGGCACTCGGCCCGAGTCGGCCCAGTGCAGCTTCACGGACGCGTCCTTGAGGGGCATCGTGTACGAGAAGGACGGGTGCGAAGCCGGAGAGACGGCATCCACCGTCCCCGTCGAGGCACGCACGCCGACAAGGAAGGCGTCGCCTGTGGGACAAGGCGCGGACGTGTCGTGGACGTGTCCCGGCTCTGACGGATGGGCGGGATGAGGAAGTGCCGGCTCGTCCGCCCAGGCTGAGCAGGCCGAGGCTGGCGTGCTCGGCCTTGGCCTTTGCAACCTCTGCCTGCGGCGCCAGCGCCGGGGTCCACAGCCTGGGTTCCGGCCTGAGCTCCTCGAGCAGCGTCTCGACGTGAGCGAGCCTATCGTCGACGGTCCGCTCCGCCGGCGGAGTGGCGGTCGCGGCCGTGACCGACTTCGCGGAGGAGGAAGAGGAGGAAGAGGAGGAGAGGGTGGTGGCGATCGTAGAGCTGGATTGGAGGAGGAGCGCGGTGGCGGCAGCCAATACGAGTAGCAAGAGGCGGCGCGAGCATACGGCGGCGCCTGGCGCCCGCTTCTTGTCGTCTTGTGGAACGAAGTAGCTGGACGCGGTCTCGGGACGCTGGCCACGGCGGTTTTGCATGCGCCGGCGCCTCCCTGTTTGGCGAAGAGCGCCTCGAGTGATGCTGCGTGTCGCGCCGCCGGCAAAGTTTGGCAACGACGACAGCGTCGGGTGGGTAGGCCGTAGAGGCGACCGCTAAAAAAGAAAACGTCGTATCGAGGACCTCTCGTCGGAAAACGGGTGCGAGTCTACTGGCCAGGCGACAAGAAGTGGTACTCTGGGCAGGTCAAGGCGTTTGACTCAGTGACGTTGGAGCACTTAGTGCGGTACGACGACGGCGAGGAGCGGCAGGAGTGCCTGACAGGGCTCGAGCCGTTGCAGTGGGAGCTGCTGCTCCCCGCGGCGGCGGCCGCGTCGAGTACACGGGCTGCCACAATGTTGCGCAGCGCGCTGCGCGAGGCGGACCCAGAGACGTTGGCGGGGTCTCGCTGCCGCCGAAGGGCTGACGCTCGTGCCAGCGAACAATGAGGTGGGATATCGTGGCGTGTCGCCTAATTCGTCTGGAACGTTTCACGTGCGCAAGCGCATGGACGGCAAGGCTTACGAACTTGGCACCTTCTCGAGCGCTGCCGAAGCCGCTCTTGCTTATGCACGGTTTCTCGGCCCGGCGGAGTCAGCCAAAGAGGCGGCCCAAGGGCCGGCTCGGAGGAACCAATATTCTCGGAAGAGGAGGGCCGGGTCGGAGGACCACGGAGACTTTGGCGTCCCGCGGTGCAACGTGTCCGTCGAGGCCGTCATTTGTGAGAGCGCCTCAGAGGACGAGGACGGCGAAGCCATCCGTGGTGCTGCCACCACCCTCGTCACGGCGACGTCTGCGGACGGCGACATGGCGCCGATGTGCTCGCCGCCTGCGCAGGCACCCGGGGGAGGGGCTCTGAAGCGCAAGCGCAGCTTCCACAGCGAAGAGTTCGAGCTATCTGCCGCCGGGGACACGATCTCCATCCCTGTGCCGCAGGCCATGCGCGGCCGACGGGCCACCGTCGTGGTGACGTATGAATGAGAGAGGCGGCTTAGAGAGGTGAGGACGCTCGTTCCCTATGGCTTTGCATCTAAATAAAGAGCGCTTGAGCGACAGACTACTAAGGTCGTATTCTACGCCGACCTGCGCCAGAACGAGACGGAGGCGAGGTGGAACAGTGCGCTGAGCCTCTTGACCGTAAAATTCTTTTGTATATCGGCCTTGCGAACGCGCTCGGTGGCTGGCAGTGCGTGCCTACCTCCCTCGGCCCTTGCTCGCTCGGCCACCTTCTCATGCGATGACGCAAGCATCCATCCTCGATGCCTTCACCTGGCTCTTCCGCGCTGTCTACACGCTCGCCTCCAGCATCTTCCTCCTCCTCTTCGAGGGCTGCGGCCGGCTGCTCGGCATCTTTGGCGCGCTGGCGGTTGTGGCTCTCGTGCTGTGTGGCTGCAACCACGGCGGCGAGGGCGCGTGGTACACCGGCGCGGTGGTTGGCGACGACGGCCAGCTCACGCCCATCGGACTTCTCCTGTTTGCTGCCGGCGTCCTCTGGGCGCCGCTCGGGTGGAGCACGGCCGACCTCGCCGTCGGCGCTGCGCTCGCCCCGACGCTCTACATCTGGCTGCTGCCGCAGCTGCGGGACGGCTGCAGCGGCTTCCTTGGCGAGGTCGGCGCGGACGTCTCCCTGCTCGGCCTCTGCCGCCTCTCGCGCAGCATGGGTGCGCTGGTCGCGCTCTTCTACCCGGCGCTGCTGCTGCTCAACCTGCGGGGCGGGGCAGGCGCGGGGGTGAGCGGGCCTCGTGGAAGGACCGCCTCGTCACTCCCTCCCGAGCCCATTCGCCTACAGGTGCGTGGCCCGACGGCGGGGGCGGCTTCACCTCACTGAGCGGCGGCGCGCTCGGGCGACTCCGCGCCACGGTCGCGGCGGCCGACGCACTCTTCTGGCTCTGGCTGGTCGCTGGCGCGCTGCTGCGGCGGAGGCCGGACTGGTGCCCCGGGGAGTGGACCCCGATGGAGGTGGACGCCCGCTCGCCCCCTTTGCCGCCTTGGCGTCCCTTCCCACCCACCCTTCCCACCCACCCTTCCCACCCACCCGCTGTCGGCAGGTGGACGCCACCCTCTTCGGCGGCTTCCTGCTCGCCGCGGCGGCGCACACGCGGGAGCAGCACTCGCTGCAGCCCTGCCGCCTGTCGCTGCTCAGCGCGGCCGCCATCGGAGCCGTCGGAGCGGCGGTGCTCGCCGCCCTCGCCGCAGGCGACACACCTCCGTTAGGCCCTCCTTAGGCCCTCCGTATGGGCCCTCCGTAGGGCGACGCCCTTCCGCACACCCTTCGCCAATCGCCACCCTCGGGACTGCATCGCTCACTCGTCACTCATCGCGTGATTCATCGGGCAGGCGGCTTCGGCGCAGCCGCCTCCTCCGTGCCCTGCAGCGACGCCGTCGCCGCGCTGGCGAGCGAGGCGGGCGTGGCGGCGGTGGGCGGCGCCGCGGGCATGGCTGGCGTGGACGCGCGTAGCCCGTGCGGCGAGAACGCTAGCCGGACGGCGCTCCTGCCTCCCGCTCCCCCGGCCCTCGTCGTCGAGCCGCCGCCGCTCGCCCGCAACGGCACGGCTGCCTGCTGGGGGTCTCTGGACGGCTCGAACGTGCTCCCCTTCACGATCGACGACCCTTCCCCTCGCCCGCCCCCCGTGCCGAGCTGCGCCAGCGAGTGGGCGCTCGCTCGCTCGCTCTCGTGGCCGGCTCCGGCCGACGGGGCCGCCGCCGCCGCCTCGCGGCTGCTGTGGTGGCTGCAGGTCACCGGCCTGAGCTTGGTGCTCTGGTCGCCGCTGCTGCACACGCTGGCAACGAGGCCGGGCGGGCTCCTCTCGGGCGGCTGCAGCGCCTGCTTCTCTTCCTCGTGGTGGCGCGACGCCGGGGGAGGGTACGGCCGCTGGGTGTATGGCCCGATGGCCAAGTCCGCCGGGGCGGCGGCGGCGGGCGCCTCGTCCTCTGGCTTGCTCCTCCTTGTGCCTGCGGCGTCGGAGGAGCTGGCGTCCGCGGTGCGGAGAGGGGACGAGAGGGCGGCGCTGTGAAGAGGCGCCGTTCACACCAGGCGGAGTGAGCAGGTGCGCAGGGACGAGGGCGGCGCTTTCCGCTCTTCGCTGTCGACACTCTCCGCCGTGCTGCCCACCGCCTTCCTGCTCTCCCAGCCGTGGCAGCTGTACGTCGGCTTCGCGGCGATGCCGTACTGGATGCAGGCGGGGAGTGATGAGTGATTCGGAATCAGCGACTAGTGATCACCGCTGCCGTGCTGGATGCAGGCGTCGCTGTCCGGGTACATCGACAGCCCGGAGGCGACAGCGCTGTACGGCGCCGCATTCTTCGGCCATTTCCTCAACATCGCGCGGCTTCGGCAACGGTGTGAAGAGGGCGCTGCTCACGGCACACGGCGTGAACAGGCTCCTTCCTCAACATGTGGGGGTTCGGCAATGCTGCTCTCGCGCGGCCCGCAGGCGTGCGGGCGGGGGCACCTCGGGCGCATCTCAAAAATCTCGGCCAATCTCCGCCAATCTCCACCGATCTCGGCAGGCACGTGGGTCGGGCCGGTGGAGCGAGCGATGACGGGCACCGCACTCGGCTACTACCAGTGGATGTTCCTGCTGATGTGCGTCGTCGACTCCGCCTGGCGAGATCTAGCCGAGACGGCCCGAGACGGCCCGAGATGGCCCGAGATGAGGCGAGCTCATGTGCATCGTCGACGCCGCCTGGCTCTCGCAGCCGCACGGTGCCCTCGGCTTCAGCTCGGCCCCCCTCGGCCCAGCTCGGCCCCGCCTGGAGAGGGCCTCTCTGCTGCCTCTCCAGGCTCTCGCTGCCGCACACCGTCCTCGGCTCGACCTTCCCCCTCTGCGCGCTCCTCTACATCGCGGAGCTCCTCTGCTTCAACCGCGACTGGCTCCCCTGCAAGGAGGTGTGGGCGGTCGTTGGTGTCGGCGCTGGCGGCGCGTGGATGCCTCTCGGCGCGCCGTATGGTGACCAGTCGCTCATCCATCAACCAGCTCCTCGTAGGCGCTTGGATGACGCTGGATGCGCTGCTGCACCCGGGCAGAACCGACCCTGTGGGCCACGACGATGGATGGATGGCTAATCACCAAACTCGGGCGAGACTGGACTCGCGTAGGCAAGCCAATCCCGTGGCCGTACTCCTTCACGCCCTTCAACCGCTTCTGGCTTGGCGAGGCCACCTCCCTCGTCGCCATCTGCTGGTTCACGCACATGCAGCACGTGCGCATAGTCGCCCTCGGAGAGCCCCAGCAGCAGCGGCAGCAGCAGCAGCAGAGGTCTGCGCGCTCCGCCCCCGAAGCCGCCAAATCGCGCGCCGCGCAGATGCGGACCCAGGGCGCGCCCGCGAGCGACCGGCACCGCGCCGCTGCATTCGCGCAACGGTCGCGGGGAGGGAGGGAGAGGCGGCCTCTGGCCTATGAGAGGCTGGCTTACGAAAAGGCGGGCGCAAGAGGAGTGCGGGTAAGCATGCCGATGGTGTGAGGACGCGGCAATAATAGGACGAAGTAGCCAATTTTAACCAATTATGGTAGGACCTCTTCGGGCAATTAGTTTTTAACATGCACGCGATGCAGCATCCGCAGCGGCAGGTGCGCATGTGTAACGAAATGACGAAATTCCAAAAGTAAGAACGGCGTCCTGGGACCGCTCTCCGCTGCGCCGCCGTGTGCGCTCTCGCGCCCAAACCCCACCAATATAGAATTAACAGTGAAAACTGGCCCGAACCGGCACCGGACCGGTGTGCGGTGAGCACTTGCTCCTAAGTCCTATGTAAGAGGGCGTCGGGGCTGCGGGGGCACATACCGCGTCTCCAATGTACATGCATGTTGTAAGCCGTATGTCGGACCCTCGCTGTGTCTCTCGCATGCCTCGCGACTCATGCATTGCCTCGACCCGTGCCCGTATGAATCAGTGCTCCCAATCAATGAATGGCTACCGCCTCGTCCGTCCCGCCCGCCTCGAGCAACTCGCTCGCCACGTCGACAGAAGCGTCGACCGGAATCACCTATCATCATTCATCCACCATTCGACTGATGCCGTCTAGTTAATCATGCCATCGGCCAGCTGCACCTCGGGCGAGGAACGGCCCGAGCCGCCCTCCGCACTCTCCGCCGCAGCCAGCCCCCCCGCGCCAAACCCGCACCTCCCCTCGATCTCGCCCTCGGCCCCAACGCCATTGCCGGCAGCTGTCCCGGTGCCGATGAAGGCGGTGACGGTGGCGGTGACGGTGGCGGTGGCGGCGGTGGTGGCGGCGGCGGTGACGGTGGCGACGGTGGCAGCGACCGCGGGCGGCGTTGGCCTCGGTGTCGGTGTCGGCGGGGCTGAGAGCGGGCTTGACACTCGCGCGGCTCCGTGCGCCTGAGAGGAAGGGCTCGCCAGCTCGTCAGCCGAACGCACTCTCGGCTCGAGACACGCGGCCGTACGCCCGCCTGCGCCGCCCACGCGCAGTGCCGGCGGTGCGAACCGAGCCCGCCCGTGCTGTCAAAGGCGCGGCCGCACCTGTTCACAGCCGTGCCCGTGAAAAGACGCTGCTTGCACCCGGCCTTGTGCCCTGTAGCCGCACACCCGCAGAGCCACTTGCCGTCCGCGTCTCGGCGCAGCGCCTCGCGGTGGCCGGCGCGGAAGCGAGATGCGCAGACAGCGCAGAGCGTGCGCGGCCCGTCCGGCCCCGGCCCCTTGCCTTGCGCCGCCGCGGCGTCGCACTCGCACCAGCCGCACCGCCACCTGCCGCCGTCGCAGTGTCGCTTGTGCACGCCGAGCGCGCCTGAGAAAGGGTGCATGGCCCTAGAGCACAGTCGTCAGATTGGGACGAGATTGTGCTCGCCGAGCGCGCCGATCGTCTCGAAGGTGCGGCCGCAATCGCAGAGGTACTTGCCCGCCGCGTCCACCTAACGAGCCGACTCACGCGCGCAGTGAATCGACCGGCAGTGACAGCGCAGCGACAGTCGCCGCCCCCGCGCCTGCGGCGGGCCCGTGGCGCCGGAGCGGAAACGGGCCGAGCAGGCGGAGCAGAGAGTGCCTGTTCACGGCGCGAGCTGTGAACAGCGCCTCTCCACCGCGCAATCTCCGAGCAGGCCGAGCAGACGCGTGCCTGGCCCTTCCGGCCCGGGTCCCTTCCCAGACTTTGCCTCGTACTTTGACTCGCACCAGCCGCATCGCCACGCGCCGCCGTCGCAGCGGCGCATGTGGATGCCGCGAGCCGCAAACGTCTCGAACGTTCGCTCGCACCGCTCGCACACGAAGAGACCCGCCTCGGTCTTGGCGGGGGGGCCGGAGTGGCCCGCGCGGAACCGCGCAGAGCAGACAGAGCACAGGGTCTGCTTGCCTGTTCACAGCTCGAGGCGTGAAGAGACGCCGTTCACAGAGCAAGCAGAGCACAGGGTCTGATTAGCCGTCTGGCCCCGGCCCCTTGCCAGAAGTCTCGCCTACTCTCGGCGAAGCTCGGCTCATCTCCGGCGCAGCTCTTGCCCCGCCCCTTGCAAAGACACGAACCCGCGGAGCAGCGGCACCACGCGCAAGCCCACACTCCTCCGTCGCACCGGCTGCGGTGCGTGCCGAGCCCGGGGATGGTCTCGAAGCCGCGGCCGCACAGCTCGCACAAGTACTGGCCTGCTCTCAGCGGGAGGCTGTGAAGAGGCGCGGCCCGCACGCCCGTCCTCGCAGCCCGCAGAGGCGGTGCTGGCCAGACGCGTCCCTCGCTGGCGGGCCGGTGTGCCCCGCGACCCACCGGCGGTTGCAAGGCGCGCACAGCGAGCTCGGCCCGTCCGGGCCGGGGCCCTTGCCTTGCGTCTCCTCCGCCTTGCACTCGCACCAGCGGCAGCGCCAGGCGCCTAGCGAACGCACAGCGAGCTCAGGGAGGGGAGAAGGTCTTCGTGCGGGTCACTCAGACCATCGCGAGAGGTCAAAGGGCTGTGCGAATGCGTGTGTGCGGCTGCGGAGCTGGTCGGAGCACAGGGCATGAGTCCGCATCCAGCGCCACGCGCCTCCGTCGCAGAAGCGGCGGTGGCCGCCGAGCGCCGCCATCGACGAGAAGGCGCGCGAGCACGCGCCGCACACGAACTCGCCCGCCTCGTTGAGCTGCGGCGCGTTGTTGTGGCCCGAGCGGTAGCGCTGGCCGCAGGCGGAGCAGAGCGTCTTCGGTCCGGCGGGGCCATTGGCCTTGTGGTGCGTCTCGTGCGCGCTGCAGTGGCACCACTCGCAGGACCACGCGTCTGCAGAAGAGCAGAACCTGCCCACACAACTCGAGCAGTGAAGAGTCGCTGTTCACACTCACTGCATCCGCAGGGGAGCGGAACCGGAGGTGGCCGTACAGGCCGGTCGGGTCGGGGTATACGGAGCCGCACGCGCCACACGCCCACCTCCCCGCTTCGTCCTGCTTGAGCTGCTCAAGAGCTGACGCCGCCACGACTGCGTGACGGCCCTTTCCGCGTGGCCGCTTGCGCGTCTGCGAGGGAGGCAGTGGCCACGGGCCGGGAGCCTCCTCGCTGGTGGCGACGTACGCTCGGCGAGCCGTCACGTCAATCACTGGTGGCGGAGGCTCGGGAGGTGAAGGAGGCTCGTCAACGTCAATGTCCTCGGGCCGGAAAGCGTCCACCGTGCCGTCGCCGCCGCCGCCGCAAATTGCGTCGTCCATGTCGAGTGCCTCCGACTCAAACTCCATGCTCGTGGCTCTTGGAAATCTGCTGGCGACCCAGCTAGGGGGCGACCAAGATAGGACGATGAGCTGCCAGGCCCAGCAGGGGGTCGAGAAGAAAACGAGCTGTCGCATGGCAGGCCAATGCCCGACGAAGGCTACACTGCGTCAGGTCGTGTATTGAGCGAACCGAGCCCCTCCGCCTAATTAATGCTTGGTGTGTGGAGGGAAGTCATGTTAGAGCTACCTACCGTAGGCTACCTACCGTCGCCGGCGGTTGTTGCCAAGGAGCGAGGTGGATGAGGGGGGCACATTGAATGGAGAGACAAGCAACAAGACAATGAAAGCGTGGTTACATGGCACAGACCAACACAGTAAGTAAAGGGGAAGCGACAGGGTGAAAAGTGTCCTGAACAATACCAAGAGCAAGTCCGCGCGGCATGAATGCGGCTTCGAACAACGATGGGGTGCAGTGGGCATGTTATTCCCACTTGCGCACCGGCTGCAGCTCTAGTGCCTCTGTAGGCCAGGGCTGCTGCACTAGGTACGAATCAACGGTGCTGGGAGGGGGGTATGGGGTCGGGGTCTGTACCTGCCGCCGTCGCTTCGCCTGCGGCCGCTCCTGCGGTACGCACTTTTTGTTCAATCGCACGCAACGACGGCAGGGATCGCCCTCGCACGCCGATTTAGCTTTGTGGCACTCGAGGCACGCCCATCGCTTGGCCTTCTTGCTGCTAGTGTCCTCGGGCACGGCCACAGGCTCGAGCGCCCCCATCCCGTCGTTGTAGCCAAACTGATACGAGGAGAGTAGCACGGGGTATGAGAAAGGGCAGCAGGGGGGGGGGGGGGGGGAGGGTTGCTGCACGCCTGCTGCATCGGCATCGGCATCGCCTGAAACATGGTGTGCATCCCAGGCTGCTGCATCCCAGGCTGCTGCATCCCAGCCTGCTGCATCCCACCCTGCGGCATCCCACCTTGCGGCATCCCAGGCTGCTGCCGCATCGAGACCGGCTGCGGGTCGCAATGCCCGCTGATCATCTGAGGCGCTCCGTATGGCTTCGGCGGAGGATAGGATGCGGTCGCTGGAGGGATGGGCTGGCCGTACGGGCCGGTTGGTGGACCTGTCATCGGCCCTCCTACCCATCCTGCAGACGGGTGGACGTATGGGCTCCCGCCAGGCACGTACCCGCCTAAAGGGGAAGACCACATGCGTCAGCGGCGGCGAGGGGGCAGGAAACGCGCGATCAGACCACCTGGATCGTGGTAAGAATGCTCCTGGTACGGAGCGCCGCCGCAAGCGACCGGGTAGGCGCCAGGCGGCGCCGACTGCTGCGGGTCGTTCCGAAACGGCTGCTGCGGGGCCGAGTGTGCCGGGAACGGCACGGCCTACTCGCGGTAAGTGGCGTGAATAGACGACGTGGACGGGCTTGATAAGGGAAGTAGCGGTTCGGCCTGGCCACAGGGAAGTCCCATTCCATCGTTGACACCGCAGCTGCCCGCAGCACCCGGACCTCCGCCCCGGCCAGCAGAAGGGTAGCCACCGCCCATGTCATACGGCGCTCCGTGCTCCTCGCCCCTGCCGCGTCCGTGCTCTATGCCTCCGTTCGGGTGGGGTCCACCACCACCCCACACCTGCGATTGGTCGCCGATGGGGCGCCCTCGCTCGACGCGGCTCTCGCTCGGATAGTAGGCGCCCTTCGTGAGCGCGGCAGCAGTGTTCTTGTCAAGGAGCGGATCGACGCCGAGGTTCTGAGGAGGGGGGGGGGGGGGGGGGTCAAACGTCGGGGATCGGAGACGCAGTGTGCGGTGGCTCGCGCGAGGGGACGTTGCGGTGACTCTGGGTTGGAGGCGCCTGCTGGCTGACAAGGTCGGTGAAGGAAGCGGAGAGGTTCAGAGGCGAGACCTTGTCGTGCTTCTTGACGACCTGGGAGGGGAGGAGGCTCTCTAGGCACGGTCGGTGACCAAGGCATGTTCTGACCTCCCATCCAAATCTCTCTCATGAGGCGTCTGCTCTGCTTCTCTACTTACCTTAGTGACGGCGAGGTAGTTGAGGATGGAAAATTTGCGCAGCGCGTCCACCTACAGCCACCAAATCCATTCGAGATGCACCACGATCTGGTTGAGGATGGAGAACGCTTGGAGTGACGCGTCCACCTCCGAGCAGAGACCCATGAACTGGAGGACGGCCGGCGAGGGCGGTATCGCTGTGCCTGCAGGAGGGCAGTGATTCAGGCCCGAACCTAGGACGGTGGCGATGCCCCGGCACACCTGCGTCTTCAGCGGTCGGCGGCGGTGCGCTCGGCGCAGCGCTCCGGCGGGCTTCGGCGGGGGGCTGAGACTTGAGCGGCGACACGTCGCGTGAGCCGATGCGCGACTTGATCAGCCCAAGGGAGAGGAGCCCCGTGCCATCGACGCCGTTGTCGTCAGAATGGACCTGGGAGGGCGATGCTCGCCGGCTGAAGGCGGCGGGTGTTGGCTATTGCTTTCACTGCCGCTTCTGACGTCGCCTGTCTCCAGACGTCCTCGAGGTCCTGCTGCGCCTCGCGCGACGCCTCGGCGTCCTTCTCGCCTTCGTCCCCGTCGGCCATGGAGGCGGAGGGCGCATCGGATGCGCCGAGAAAGCTGGAAGACGGCGCTCGAGCGATGGCGTCCTCGTTGCCAGAGGGCCCAGTGCTGCGGCCAGCCGCTGCCGAAGGGAGTGTGCCGCTGTCAGCCGAGACAGTATCCTATGCTCGCCCATAGGTACAGGTAATACCTTCTTTTGCGTGACGGTTCCAGGCGGTGCGCGTTCTCAGAGCTCGCCCGACGATAAGGCACGTTGTGCAGCAGCGGCGACAGCGCGCGCAAGCGGCCAGCAAACTCTTCCGCCTAAGATTGGTTGTGTGGGCATGGTCACACACAAGGGAAAGATGCACGACGCGGCGCATCGGTCCCAGCACGGTTGCTCAGATAATGGAGTCGACTCCTGTGTGCGTGTGGTGGCTGGCGAGGGCACCTTGGCGCAGTAGAAGCGGTTGGCCTTCTGGATCTGCAGCATCAGGCTGGAGACGAAGAGGCCGTCCAAATGCACGCTCGCGTCGGACGCAACCTCTGGCTGCTGTATACTGTACTCTGGCACCATCTGCTTCAGGATGTGCTTGAGCGCCTTGTAGTCAACGTAGTGTTGGAGCCAAGGCTCATGCGTCTGCCAGAGCGGTGGGGAGAGCGGCAGTTTGCGTCAGAGCACGCCGTCGTGCGTGCGATGGTGCGAGCGTGGCCGCCCTCCTCTCCACTATTTCACACGAACCCGTGAGTAGTGCAACCCAGCAATTGGCGCAGCCACGCGGTGGCCGGCGGCCGCGGCGTGAGCTGTCTTCTGACTGGAGCGGTTGCGTGGGGAGGGGTTCGCCTCTTGGTCGAGCTGCTTTCCAAACTTCGTCATGCCTCGGCCTACCTCTTTAGCCTTTGGCTGTGCGACATCCAGCCGCATTCTCCGGCCGAAGGGTTGCGCGGGCGGAGCAACTTTCGCGTAAGAGAAGTGAGTCACGCCAAGGCGATGTACCTGGCCAAATTTGGATCTCGAGCCCAAATTTGAGGTTTTCTCCCACAGGTTGCTCCCAAGGTCGCTCATCAGAAAGCACTGGAAGTGGGGTGTGTTCGCGGAGGTCGGTGTGTGTGCGTGTCGTGTTAATGACTGTCCGGTATATACACGCCAGCCAAAGTTAGATGGAAGTTGTTGCATGCACATACATGCAGTTGTGAGAGTTGTCTTCTCTCTTGCAGTGTCACCGCCCAGTCAGGTCAGTGTGTTTCCCACCCAGCCTGTCAGAGCGTGTCGCTACGCCTGCCTGTAGAGTAAGACAACCAACTGCTCTGCCTCGTCCTAGCAGCTCCAGCGCGTCTACAAACACACGTCAGCACCCTAGATACCTGCGTGGGAAATTGTTGTTTGTTTGTTTGTTCATTCATCGATCGAGGGCGTCTCTCTCCTCCTCCCTGCTACATAAACCGGACACGTATCCACAGCGGCCATCTTTAGGCCATTTTCCGGCTACCGCCCCCTCATTACCGCCGGTTTTCGAGGTTTTACGGGACCCAAAAGCAACGCCGAATTGGCGTGCTTGGGGGCGGTCGGTCGGCCAGGCGCGCCGCGTCTAGTGCCCACGCAAACCTGTCCCTCCCCCACCGCCCACCGCTCGCTGCTGAGGTTGTGGTGGGACTCTGACAGATGAATGGGCCCATAGCGGGACATCAATCCTACGCGACGGACTCGGCGGGCGAGAGGAGTGCCCCAGCTCTTGAGACCCCTCCGAGCGGAAAGTACAATCCGGACCCAGGCTTCTCGAAGGATCCTCTGCCAGCTGCGGACGAGGACGACCTATCGCTGACGTCGTACGCCAACGGCTGCTGTGCGCCAACCCGCTGCGGGCCGCCGATCCAACATGCGTGGTGCCCCTCCCTCACTCTCCGCGTCTCGCGCCGCTTGCTCAGGTATTTGCTGGGTCTCTGACCACCATGCGCCGATCGAGTGCCGGCTTGCGTGCTCGATCATGTAGCCATTCTTGCGTCCCCTCCCCCTAATACATTGCCGGGAGGGCGACCTCTCCCGCACCAACGCGCCGCACAGCCCCCGCAGTGCGGAGTGCCGGCTGCCGCACCTTCGTGCAGGCTGCAGCCTGTGCACAGGCTGCTCACATTGGCCAGCTATTGTCTGCCCGAGGGCTGCGAGATGTCGAGAGATACTGCGCTCGGCTGCGCGTACTTGCCTGCTTCATTGGCCTGCTTCTTTATTTTCCACCGGGAGGCCTGCGCGCGCCGCCGCCGGCGCGCCGGGGGGGGCGCGCGGGCGGCGCACACGCACACCGGCAGGGAGGGCAGAACACAAAACAGAGTAGTGGGACCGCGCCGCGCACAGATATAAAAGCGGTGAGCGCGGGGCCGGCGACGTGCCAAATAAGCACGAAACCGCATCCACCGCCCAGCTTTAGCAACTGCCCTGGCGGATCTCGCGCACACGTACACACCCAACCGTCCGCCTCCTGCACAGACCCGACGCGCCTCGCTGCCCCCGCTCTGTGACAAACTCTGGCACCCAAACCCCGCCCGCCCAACCCGCCGCCCGGCCTCGCGCGCCACTGCGTGTCGCCACTGCGCGTCGCCGGTCACGCGCCCCCGTGCCGGCAGAGCACCTATTCACAGCCTTCTTCTCACGAGTGGGACGGCTTCTTGTTCTGCCATCGCGGCGCCGGCGGCGCTCCTCTATGAACTGCGACTTCTCCATGCAGCCGCGGCACTCCGCCTTGACGTCGACGCCCATCTCGCTCAGCTGCTTCCGGATCTGCTTCATCGTCCACGACTCGTAGTCCCCGGGGTGGCACTCCTCCGCCTCTTCGTCCTCGAGTCCGCCGATGCTGTTCTCCGAGATCCACCGCTCCGCGTCAAGCGCCGCCTGCGGGCCCGAGCCGGCGGCGATCTCAGCTCCGGCTCACCTCGGCTCACCTCGGGCTCCCCTCGGCTCATCTCGGGCTCATCTCGGGCTCACCTCGGGCTCCCCTCGGCTCATCTCGGGCTCATCTCGGGCTCATCTCGGGCTCATCTCGGGCGCATCTCGGGCTCATCTCGGGCTCATCTCGGCGCATCTCGACCTGCGAGCCCGAGCCGGCGGACGTGATTGCCTGCCGGTACGTCCAGTCGGCGACGTCGCCCGCCGCAAAGACTCCGTCCACCGAGCAGGCGGTCGAGCCTGCCCGCGTGACCAGGTAGCCCGCGTCGTTCATCTCGAGCTGCCCGGCGACGAACCCCGTGTTGGGGATGTGGCCGATGGCGACGAAGGCGGCGTCAGCGGTGATGTTGGTCACGTTGGACGCGTCGCTCACGTCCTGGGCCACCACCTGAATCGGCAATCATCTTAACAGTCAACCAATCACGTTGGACGCGTCGCTCGCCTCCCGAGCCGCTACCGTGGTCAGCACGCCGCCCGCCGCGGGGTCGCCGCCGACGAACTCCTGGACGACGGTGTTGTACATGATTGTGATCTTCGGGTGGTTGAGGACCGCCGCCTGCGCCGCCTTTGACGCGCGGAACTCGCCCCTCCGGTGCAGCAGCGTCACCTAGCCGCAACCACAGCCATACTCACCACGACATGGATGGCCCACTCGCCCCGCTGGTGCAGCAGCGGCACGTGGGACGAGGTGCGCGCGAGCACCAGCGCCTCCTCCATCGCCGTGTCGCCGCCGCCCACCACGACCACCGGCTTGCCCGTGAAGAGGAAGCCTGCTCGCAGCTGCACCGTGTGAGGGCGCGCCGTTGTCACCCCCACCCCCCTAGCGGTGGTGGAGTGGAGACCGTCGCAGGTGGCGCACGACGAGATGCCCCCGCCCTTGAAGTCCTCCTCGCCCGCCACGCCCAGCCAGCGCGAGTCCGCCCCGGTCGCGAGCACGAGCGAGTGCGCCTACCGGGACGCGTCTCGGACGTGGCGTGGACGTGTCTTGCACACGCCCCCGCCGCGAGCACGGCCGAGGGCGCCGTGAGGGCGGAGCCGTTCGTGTTGATCACAAACGGCCGCACAGACAGGTCGACCGAGGTGACCCAGTCGTCAGCAAAGGTCGTCGAGAACTTGAGCGCCTGCCGCTTCATCAGCCGGATGATCTCGCCGCCAGACTCGCCGTCGAGGCCCGGGTAGTTCTCCACGTTGACTCCCTTGGACATGAGCTGCCCGCCTGGAGAAGAGGAGCGCCGCGTCAAGAACAAGCGGCCGGAGAGCGCCCTCGGACAGGAGCTGCCCGCCGAGCGCCGGAGCGATGACCAGCGGTTTGAGCCCGGCGCGAGCCGCGTAAATGGCGGCGGTGACTCCGGCAGGCCCCCCTCCGAGGACCGCAACCTACCGCCAACCACTCCACCAGTGGCGGTTGATGCCTCTGCGGGCCGCCCCTCCGAGGACCGCTGTGCCTTGACTGGCGCGGCAGCCGACACGCCCTGCCCCGCCTCGCCTCCCTCGCCGGTCTGCTTGCCGTCCGGGCTGCCCAGGATCTTCTCGAGCCGCCGCTCGTTCTTGCGGTCGAGCATCGCCACCTGGGGAGGACAGCGTGGACACGACTCACCCCTCGTCGACAGCCCCTCGCCGCTCGCTCTCTCGCCGTCTACGCTAACCTCCTTCTCCTCCATCTGCGACTTGCGGCGGTACACCTCCGCCTCGAGCTCCTCCAGGTCCATCTTGCGAATGTCCACCGCCTGACACAGAGACGCACCCCGCTCAGAAAGAAGAGGAAGCGCGCCGCAGGCCCACGCGGTCCGGGCCGCCTTCTTCTCGCCGCCGGCGCCGCCCTCCGCCGCGTGCGGCTTTGGCGGCGTCTTCTTTGTGTGCTCGGGCGCGACGCCGTACCTGAAGAAGAGAGGCGCGGGGAGGCTTGAGCCGACGCTCCTCCTTGCCCGTGCGCCTCGCACCGCCACTCACTTCTTCTTGAGGATGGCGACCAGCTTGTAGGCGGGGTACTTTTCGTAGATCTCGTCCACCTTGTCGAGCTTTGACGGGTCGTGCTTCTGGTAAAAGGCCTGCAGGCAGGGCCCCGAGCAGGCTCGCGGAGCTGCCACCCCCCTCGTGCCAGCCAGGAGGAGAGAGGGGAGGCAGGGGCGAGGGAAGGCAGCGGGTAGGGAAGGCAGCCGGTAGGGAAGGCAGCGGGGAGGGAAGCACGCCTCGAGTGCGCCGAGGGAGACTGTGACGTCCATCGCCTCCGCCTACAAGAGCACGCTTCCGAGAAGGGTCAAGGAAGGCTCCTCGAAGAGAGGCGGGCTGCACTGGCCGTCACGCGGGCGCCTTCGCCGACAGCGCCTGGCTCATCTGCTTCAGCCCTCGCTCGTCTCCTCCCGAGAACTGGTTCTCGAGCTTGCCTGTGCGGGGTCTGGAGAAGCTCAGAGAAGGTTCCGAGAAGAGGTTCTGAGGCGGGCTCTCGAGACCGTGGAGGTAGAAGTGGAAGGTGGGCATCGACCGGATCTGCGCCGCGGCGGCGGGCGGGGTGGGCGGGGGCGGGTGGGGGAGGGGAGCCGTTCAGGCTGAGTGAAGAGAACACGGGAGCAGGGGCAGAGTGCGCGGGCGGCGGGGGAGTGGCGCCGGCCAGGGCGATTCGGGCGAAGGCGGCGAGGGCGGCGGCGCAGAGGCGGCGGCGAGAGGCGGCGGCGAGAGGAGGCGGTGGAGAGGCGTCGGCAGGGCGTCGGTGAGGCACAGGCGGGCAGCCGCTGCTGTCGGCCGGGCGCCTGCACTCCGACGTACGAGCGCTGCACGTCCACCTTGATGAGCTTGAGGCGGCCCTCGTACTCGCGCGCAACCTCCTTGAAGATGGGCGCCATCATGATGCACGGCCCGCACGTCTGCCTGCGGCCGCGAGGGGGCGAGGCACACGCTCGGCCGCGTGCGGTCCGTGCTGCCCCGGTGCAAACAGAGGCGGCGCACGAGTAAAAGTCGACGACGACGGCAGGGTTGTCGGAGAGAATCTTCTTGAACTGCGCCTCGGAGGTCACCTCCTCGACGCCGGCAGCGGCCGCCAAGGGCAGCAGCAGAGCAGCGACCACACGCCACGACATCGCCGCCGCCTTGGAACCCCTCTCTGGATGCTGAACACTGGAAGACAGCGAAGCGGGGATTTTTCTTTTGCTACACTGGGTTGCTAAAGACACAAAGAAACCCTACCAAGCGATTTCCGCAAAAATCTAAAAACTGAGGCGCGCCCCGAGAAAAGGCCAGATACGAGTGTGAACGGGAGCCCCAGCTGCAGCTCAAAATTTCTCTTCGCCTGCGGCGCGCGCACTTGAGATTTTGAGAGAGAGAGAGATTTTAGCAATATTGTTTTGTTTTGTCGCACTTGAGAGAGAGAGATTATAGAAAACCAACAAGAAATTCTTCTTCTTCTTCGCACTTGTCACTTTTCAAGTATGCGGTGTTCTGAGTGAGTGGCAGAGTGGATGGAGGCGTGTGTGCGTCTTCCCGTCATCCAGAGAGCCGACTCGGCGGCAGACTCTGGCATCGCCCTCGCGGACCGCAGCTTTAATACCTCTTACTTACCTACCTAAAAATCCTTCGGGCCGGCGCTCTGGCTTGATTGAGTGCCCCGGCCGGAGCTAAGAAACCACGGCGTGGGGTGGATGAGGGCTGTGGAAAGGCCTAGAAACGGCGGCGTGCCGCAATCCTGTTTTCTTAATGCCCGCAACCCACTCTCTGTAGCCTTCGATGTTATGAAACAACGCAAGGCGGACACAAGCACATCGCTCTCTCGATCCCACAGACATCCCGCACACCCGCCGCACACCCGCCGCCCCCGCGCTCGCCCCACCCCGGCCGGGAGAGAGGGGAGTGACAGTTTGGAGCACTTGGAGTGCAGTCGGCAAATCACATCCAGGGCCGGGGAGCTAAGTATAAGCGCACCCAGCGAGCCGGATGATCGGCATCGGGCTACGGGCTAGAGAGCCCTGACCCCTAGCTAGGGGGGGTGCGCATTCGCAGGGAAAGGGCCGTAAAGTAAGCACGGGTCTCCGAGGGTTGGCCCCGCGTACCGGGTTTCCCCTTAACTGAGAGAGAGATTTAAGAAAACTTCTTCTTCTCTTAACTGCAGGACGCCCCCTCTACTCGGAGCTAATGAACACCACACTGCACGCCTCGCACGAGCTAACATGTTTTCTTTCTTTTTCTACTCGGAGCCAGTGTGCAGAGAGAGAGATGATACGAGAATACAACCTGTACTAGACTCGACGATAATACAAGAATACGCAGCTTGGAAGTTGCAGACGCCTATAAAGAAAAAACAGCAAGCTAAATTTCGGCGGCTAAAAAGCAAAGGACGGGCGCTTTTGATCGGCAAAGCAAAGTTGGAGTAACAGTTTAGGATGATTTTTCTTTTCGTTGTTAGCTTAGGCGGCTCCGGTGGTGTGCCTGTGATTGTGCTAGCACGCGCCAGTTCGCACCTGTGTCGAGCCTGTCTGCTGTGAGAGAGATTTGCACTTGGAGCACTTGGAGTGCGCAGACCGCAGTCATCAGCCTCACATCCAGGGCCGGGGAGCTAAGAAGCGCACCCAGCGGGCCGGATGATCGGAACGGGCTACGGGCTAGAGAGCCCTGACCCCTAGGGGGGGGTGCGCGTTCGCAGGGAGAGGGCCGTAAAGATCTGCGCTGGTTTAAATTCTTTTCGTTGAAAAAATCTGTTTCTCGAGGCCTTTGAAAGCACCGCCCACCCTAGTGGGGTTGGGCACTTGCTCAGCGGCACGGACGGTGCACAAAAGAGGTAAACAGGATAGGAAATTTTGTGGGTTCGCGAGGTCTCTGATCTGGGTTCCAACTTTTTCCGGGGTGTGGTATGGTAGGGTCGCGCATGCCAGCTCAAGACCATACCCCCCCCGCCTGCTGGCAGACCTGCTTGGGGGTATGGTAGGGCTAGTCTTGGGCGGGCAGGACCATACCCCCTACCCCTTTGGGCCGCGACACCATACCATCCCCAAAGAAAGGTTGGAACCCTGACGACGGACGGGTCACCTTGGCGGTTGCGAGCCGCCGCCGACTGTTTTGTCGCGCGATGTTTTCTAAGAAGCGGGTCGATCCGCTTGCGATCACCCCGACCGTCTCGGAGGACGGCGGCGGCGGCGCGTTGGACGGCTTCATCGCCATCACTCCGCGTGGCTCGCTCGAGACGGGGCGGGGCAAGAAGCTGCTCACAGCGGGCGGCGGTGGCGGTGCGGTGGTCGTGCCGGACGCGCGGCCGGAGGACGACGCGCAGCTGGATGAGCTGGTCGGCGCGATGCTCGAAGCGCAGGGCGAGAAGGACATGGTTCGCTCCAAGGTGATGGAGCTGCCGCCCGCACACAAGTGGGCGCTCCTCTCCAACTACAAGGTCATCCAGGCGCCGTCGGGCGCGGCGCGCGGCGCGACGACCAGCCGGCGCGGCTCGCTCGCCGCCGACGAGGACAACTCTCAGGACTGGGCCGACACCATCTCGCTCGACCCGTCCCTCGACCAGCTGCAGGAGCTGGCGGTGCTGCTCCGCTCGCGTCCGCTCCGCTGGGTGATCGGGTTCGTTGTCGGGGGCGGTGTGGGATCGCTGGTGGGCGCGCTCTCGTTTCTGCAGCGCAAGACGTTCAAGACGCCCGACGACCTCGACCTGCTCGCCGAGATGCTCCGCTGCCTGCGCGCCCTCATGAACACCGAGGTGGGCATGCGCTCTGTCCTCAACCTGCCGCTGCTCGAGGAGGAGGAGGAGGAGGGGGAGGAGGGCGACACACTCGGCGCACTGCCGAGCAGCGAGGGCGGAGGGAGCGGCAAGCTCGACCCGACCGGAGCGGTCGCGCAGCTCGCCCTCTGCGCCGAGCCCCTCAACGAGTCTGCCACCGCGAGGAAGGTTGCGTCGGCGGCGATGGTCCTCATCTCTGCCGCGGCCCTCTACTCAGACAAGGGGCACGGGCAGGTCCTCGCGGCGCTCGAGCTCGCTCGCCGCGGCCGCCGGAGGCTCAACCGCTTCGGGTGGCTGCTCACACGTCACCGCCGCGCGCGCAGAGGTGTGAACCGCGCCTGTTGAGGCGCGCAGCGAGTGAGCAGGTGGCTCGTCGACCTCGCCGCCGCTGGCACGTTCGAGCAGGAGGCGGAGGAGGAGGCGGGGATCGAGGACGAGGACGACGACTTCATGCGCTCCATCTCGCTGCGCAAGCCCAAGGCGGGCCGCCAGTCCGGCCACCACCCCGCCGAGTCGATGCCGGACCGCGCCGCGAGGATGGGACTGATCTGCGACGTGCTCTTGCCGGCCCGGGAGAGGGAGAGGGAGGGAGGGCTGCTAGTGCAGAGGCAGAGAGCTGTGAACAGGTGCTCGTGCTGGTCAACGCGCTCATCGGCTCGCCGCAGGAGCTCCGTCAGCGAGTCGGGCTGCGCGGCGACCTCCTCCGGCCCCTCCTCCTCTGTCCAACGACCCTCCTCGGACCCTGCTCGGAGCCGTCTCTGCAGGCGAGTTCCTCCGGCTGCAGTTCCTCTCCGTGCTGTCGTACCTGCACCGCCAGAACCACGCCGACATCGCGCGGCAGGCCGAGCGCTCTCGAGCCGGCGCGCCCTGTTGAGCAGCTGGGGTCGATCCCTCGGCTCTGGCGTGGGTAGGTCGAGGTGTTTGAGACGGAGCTGCAGTCGGACAATGGCGAGATCGCGCTCCTCTCCGACGAGGGGAAGAGCGCGCTGCCAGGCAGGGGCGAGCAGCCGAGCGGCATACACGCCGACGCCGCGACACCTTCCTCCCGGCCGGGCGCCGAGGAGGAGCCCTCCCGCCACTCTCCCGCCGTAGGCATCGACGGCGTCGTGCCCTTGTCCTCCGCCAGCGCAGCGCAGGGCAGCCTGCTCCTCCCGCGCTCGTCTGCCCTCGGCGGCGGCGGCGGCGGCGGCGGGGTTGGCGGCGGCGGGGCGGCGGGCAGGGCGAGCCCGTACGGCCAGTTGCATGCGAAGCTCCTTGCCAAGCCCGCCACCGCACCGGCGGCTGCGGTGCTGGAGGCGCTGCTGGCGTCGCTCGCCACGCTACCCGACGGCGAGGTGCGCCGGAGACTTGGGAGAGTCCTAGTTCCGGCAGTGGTGAGGCTGAGAATGGATCAGTCCAGCTGCCCGACGACGAGGTGTGCACGAGAGCCACTCCCTCTGGGGCGGGATCACTCTGGCGGGATCACTCCAACAGCGGAGGGCTGAGAGCGAGCCGGACCCCCCTCCCTGCTGTTGACCACCCTCCTTGCTGTTGACCACCCTCCTTGCTGTTGACAGGTTGGCCTCGCCGCGTGGAAGCACGTCGCGAGCCGCGCGGCGCAGGCCGCCGAGGCCGCCAAGACCTCAAAGGCCCCCGCGGCGCTGCAGACGGTGCCGAGATTCGCCGAGATTCTCTCCGAGATTCTCTCCGAGACTCGCCGAGACCGCCGAGGCGTCGCGAAGTCTCGAGCCATCTTTGCGTGCGACTCCTCAGGCGCTGCTCGAGCTGCGGCCGCTCGAGCGCGTGTCGATGGGCGAGGAGGGCGACGTATCGCCGCCCGAGTCGCCCTCGCTGTCCACCAAGTCTCCGCTCTCCTCGCCCTTGACGCCGGCGCAAAAGATCCTCGCGGGCGGCGACGGCGCGGCGGCGAACGCGCCGACGGCCTTCATCGCCTCGGGGGCGGGCAACGCGGACAAGGAGCGGCAGCGCGGCGGCAAGGGGGGCCGCGACGGCCTGATTGCGAGGATCGACGAGCTCGAGACGGAGGTGCGGACGGCCGCACGCGACGTGCCCACCTCCCTCGCCATGCTCCGGATGGGCGGGTGGTGATTGCTATTTAGGTGGACGAGCTACGCAACAAGCTCAAGGTGGCCGAGATCAAGAATGCGAGGGGCAGCATGGGGCAGGCAGGCGCACTCGCGCCGCCTCCGCTCGCGCCGCCGCCGATCGGAGGCGGCCCGCCTCCGCCGCCGCCCATTCCGGGCGGCGTGCCGCCGCCGCCACCGCCGATCGGTGGCGCCCGCCCGCCTCCGCCTCCTCCCATTCCGGGGGGCGCGCCGCCGCCTCCGCCGCCGATCGGTGGCGCCCGCCCGCCTCCGCCTCCCCCCATTCCGGGGGGCGCGCCACCGCCTCCGCCGCCGATCGGTGGCGCCCGCCCGCCTCCGCCTCCTCCCATTCCGGGGGGCGTGCCTCCGCCTCCGCCGCCGATCGGTGGCGCCCGCCCGCCTCCGCCTCCTCCCATCCCCGGGGGAGCGCCGCCGCCTCCGCCGCCTATGGGAGGAGCACGACCTCCGCCGCCGCCCCTGCCTGGGGGCCTGGCGCCCCCGCCTCCTCCCCCGATGCCAGGCGCGCCGCGGCCCCCTGGCGCGCCGCCGCCCCCTCCGCCTCCCGGGGGCGCCCCTCGCCCGCCCGGCGGCCCGCCGATGGCGCCGATGGCGCCGGCGTACCCAAAGAAGGCGCCGGTCAAGCCGTCGCAGCCGATGCGGCAGCTGCACTGGGGCAAGCTTCCGGACATGAAGGTCAAGGGCACGCTGTGGGAGAAGGAGGTGGACGACTCAAAGGTCGCCATCGACAAGGACGAGCTCGAGTCGCTCTTCGCGACCAAGCAGCCGGCCAAGGCGGGCGGCGCGGACGGCGAGAAGAAGGAGCCCGAAGAGACGAAGGGCGCAGGGATCCTTCTCGGAACCTTCTCGGAACCCTCCCCTGTAGGCGAGAAGAAGGAGGACAAGAAGAAGAAGGGGCCCGAGATGGCGAACTTGCTCGACGCAAAGACGTCGCAAAACACGGGCATCGCGCGCGCGCGTATCAAGCAGCCCCGAGCTCGACCCGCGACGCACCCGAGAGACACACGCGAGATGAGCCGAGGTTGCCCGAGACGCGTAGGCAGACCGATGCGGAGCTCGCTGAGACGCTGCGCACGGGCGGCGATGCGATGGATGCCGACACGCTCAGTTCGCTCCTCAAGCGAGAGACGAGCCGAGATTCGCCGAGATGAGGACGCTGCCCGCCGCGGAGACGACACGAGATTCGTCGAGATTAGGATCCTCCCCACCGAGGAGAACCTCGAGGCCGTCCGCGACTACGACGGGCCCGAGGAGTCGCTCTCGCAGGCCGAGCAGTTCTTCACACCTCTCATGAAGTCTCATGAACTTCACACCTCTCTTCACACCTCTCGCAGGCCGAGAAGTTCATGCGCGCCGTGGGGAAGGAGCCGCGGTGCCAGCTGCCCGCCGAGTGCCGTGGACGGCGCTTCCTCACCCTCTGCGCGTGTAGCAGGTTCCGCGGTACCAGCTGCGGGTCAAGTGCATGCTCATCCGCGCCACCTTCGACGAGAAGGTCGCCGAGATCTCCGAGTCGGTCTCGCTCGTCGCGCAGGCCCGCCTCGCACCTGGGCGCACCTCGACGCACCTCGGCACACTTCGGCGCACCTCGGCAGAGCCTCGGCACATCCTCGGCACACCGGAGGGAAGCAGACGCCGCGGAACACCTCGGCAGAATCTCGGCAGATCTGGCGAAGCCTCGGCACACATCTTTGCACGAGCGCCTCGCCGGTCGCCCACCGCAAGGCGGGGTGTGGTTCGCCGATGACACGTCCGCGACGCGTCCACCCCACCCCGCAGGCCGTCAAGGAGGTTCGCACTTCGCCGGCGCTCAAGAAGGTGCTGCAGATGACGCTCGCGCTGGGCAACTACCTCAACGGCGGCACAAACAAGGGCGCCGCGTGGGGCTTCAAGCTCGACACGCTCTCGAAGCTGTCCGGCACAAAGACGGTCGACAACAAGTCGACCCTCCTCCACTACATCGCCGGCCCGCTCGCCTCAGCGGGCTGGCGCATTTCTTTTTATGCGTCCACATGTCTCTGTCCTCTTCAGGCCTGCTCGCAAAGGAGGCGGAGAAGGGCAACTCCTCCGGCGGCGACGGCGAGGAGAAGACGACCGACGCGGTGCTCCTCCTCAAGCAGATGCCCTCGCTCGAGCAGGCTCTGCGCGTGGTGTGGGTCGACGCGGGCGCGGACGTGTCGGCGCTGCGCGGCTCGCTCAAGCAGGTGGAGAACGCGGTGAGCAGCGACAAGGAGGAGTCCTTCAAGGCTGCGCTCGGGGACTTCCACTCGCGCGCGACCGCCGAGGAGAAGAAGCTCACCGAGGAGCGAGCTAGCCGAGATTCGCCGAGATTCGCCGAGATTCGCGGAGATTCGTGCTCCGCTCACTTCACGGCGCCGTCTGCGAGCAGGAGCACGCCGCCGCGGACAAGGGGTGCCTGGACCTCTGCGCGTGGCTGGCGGAGGAGGTCAAGGGCGGCAAGCTCGAGCCCGAGAAGGTCTTCGCGGCGCTGCACACCTTTGCGCTCGCGCTCGAGAAGGCGCACGCCTTCAACGTCGAGGCGGTCGAGAAGGAGGCCAAGAAGAAGCGGATGGAGGCGGCCGCCAAGGCGCGCGAGGAGGAGATGGCAGCGCGCAAGCTCTCCAAGGCGTCTTCGGGCGGTAGCGCGGCCGGCAAGGGCGGCGGGCCGGCGGGTCCCGCAGGCTTGGGCGGCAAGGGCGGGGCACGGCCGGGCGGGCCGCGGCCGCCGGGGAACGGGCCTCCCAGGCCGGGCTTTGGGATGGCGGGCGTCAACGACGAGCTCACGCGCAAGCTGGCCGCGCGCGGCAACGGGCGCGGCAACCTCGTCGACGGCGTCAAGGACGGCCTCGCCGACGGCTCCATCCTCGTGCAGAAGCGGAACGAGTCCTTCGGCCGCCGCGCCTCGATGAAGCGCTCCGCCGGCCAGGGCGGATCGCACGGCTCGGCCGGCGAAGGCCCCTCCAAGCCGCCGCCGCCGCCCGGCCCGCCGCCGCCCGAGCCGCCCTTGAAGCCGCCGCCGCCGCCCGGCCCGCCGCCGCCGAGCCCCCCGGCGGCGGCCGCCGAGCTCTCGAGCAGGACGGATCGCGACCACTCCCCGAACACCGGGGCCTCGCCCAAGGCGTCGCCGGTGGCGGCGCGGAGCAAGAGGAAAGGGCTGCTCGGAGGGATCCGCAACCGGTCCAAGACAGGATAGCTGTAATGACTCGCAGGGTCCAGGTAGTAGAGAGCAGGTGTCGGTCATGTTGAGTCGCTTGCTGCGGGGGTGAAACTGAAAGAGTAGTGTCGCGTCGGTCGTTGTGAAAGTAAACGCGCGACACAGTATACGGGGTGTGGAGGGTGAGTTGAACAAGGGGTTGTGCGCCGGGCCCTCCTGCTCGGCTCCAGCCGGTAGACAAGTCTTGTCATCAACAGAGTAGATGGATCTGACCTCGGGGCCGATGTGACCAAGCGCTGGTAGCGTGGTTTAACCTCACACCCATGGTCTCACAGTGTGCCGGCAGTCGCCGAGCAGTGTCGCTCACATAAGCCGCAGCACAAGTGACTGAGGGCCAGTGAGGGCGAGCCCATCGCTGTCACAGCTGTGGCAGCCGCACAGTAGGCTGTGTCAGCTGTGCAGAGCGTGTGAGTAGCAGAGGAGCTGCTCTCCAGGCTTCAGGCGCAAAGAGCAGCATGCCACCGAAGGCGCTGTCGAGGTTCGCCGAGCGCGGCGCAGGTTGGAGGAAGCCGCCACCGACGAGCGCGTTGGACTTTTCACTCCGGACAAAGACGGGGACACAGCGGATGGTGCGGGGTGTGTCCCCGTCTTAGGGGCGAGGCGCGGGACTCAGCCGAGGTAGCTGACTCCGCCCAGCAGGACGCAGGCGCCAGCGACGAGCAGAGCCGAGGCCGCGGTGTTGAGCCCGTCCGCCGGCCAAGGCGCGTCGCTGAAGGCGGAGAGGAGGACCGCACCGCTGCTCACCCAGATGGTCGGCGGCGGGTAGGGAGGCGGGTAGGGCGGCGGGGGCGGAGGTGGCGGAGGTGGCAACGGTGAAGGAGGGGGTGGTGGCTGAGACGGAGAGGGCGGTGGCAGCTCGGGAGGCGAGGACGGTGAAGGAGGGGGTGGTGGCTGAGACGGAGAGGGCGGTGGCAGCTCGGGAGGCGAGGACGGTGAAGGAGGGGGTGGTGGCTGAGACGGAGAGGGGGCGGTGGCGAGGACGGCGGTACTGTTGGGTGTGACGGGCAGAAGTAGCCGTGCACGTGACACAGCATAGCTTGTCCGGTGTAAAGGGAGTCGGACCACAAAGAGGGCGGCGTCGGTGGTGTAGGCTCGGAGAGAGAATTTCCCTCCTTTGCTCTATCAACAAAGAAAAACACCACCGCCGTCTCGGTGTTGCCCGCAGCGCCGCAGCCGACTCGACAATGGTGGAGGCAATGGATACCGACGCTCCGGCGCCGGCGCCGGCGGAGGAGGAGCCGGCTGCGCCGCCCGATCCGGCGTCGCTCTACCGCGCCGACATCCGGTCTGCGCAGGCGTCGGTCGAGCGCTTTGTGACGTCGCGGGAGCCGCGGTTTGCGCAGGCTGCGCTCAAGCTGATGGCCTGCCTGCGCAAGGCGGGACTCGCGGCCGCGTCACCGACGCAGCCGGTGCTCGCCGCCGCCATCGCCTCCGCCTTTGGACCGTCGCACCCGCTGCGCGAGCGGCTGCTCGCAGCGCTGCCACCGCCAGCGGCGGAGCCCGAGGCGGCGGACGCGGCCGGCGCGGAGGGCAAGGAGGGAGGCGAGGCGAAGAAGCGGCCGCTGCTGCCGGAGATGGAGCTGATCCTCGAGCTCCTCGTCCTCCTCGCGCTGATTGACGGCGGCAAGCTTCCAGGAGCGCCTCCGCTCTCGCCTCCTCTCTCGCCGCCTCTCTCGCCGCCTCCCTCTGCCTCGCCTCTCTCTCGCCTCCCCTCGCCGCCGTCACACCTCTCTCTGCCCTCTCCTCTCTCCTCTCTCCTCCTCTCTCCCTCCCCTCTCCCCTCCCCTCTCCCGCCTCACCCCGCCTCACCCCCGCCTCACCCTCTCCCGCCAGTCGCCCTCTCGCTCGCCGACGCGCTCCTCGAGCGAGTGGCGTCCTGGAACCGGCGCGAGACGCAGCCGCGATGCCGCCGAGATGAAGCAATCAGCCGAGATGCAGCCGAGATGCAGCCGAGATGCAGCCGAGAAGCATCAGCCGAGAGGCAATCAGCTGAGAGGCAATCAGCCGAGAGACAGCAAGGCTGGCCCCACTCGTGCCCTCTCCCCTCGCCCCTCTCCTCACCACGCCTCGCCCCCCGCCCCCCGCCCCCTCCCCCAGCCGCACCCTCGACCCCTTCGCCGAGCGCGCCTACTTCTACTCCTCCTGGGCCTACGAGAAGGCAGGCAAGATCGAGGCCGTCCGCTCCCGCCTGCTCGCGGCACAGGTGAACCCCCACCCCCCCTCTCTCTCCCTCCCTCTCTCCCTCTCCCTCTCCCTCTCTCCCTCTC